CTAGTCGCTGCCGCCTCCCTCCACCGCCGAGGCGTGCCCTTTCCTAGCCACTACCTAGACACTTCCTAGACACTTCCTAGCGCCTGCCGTCTCACTCCAACGCCAAGGCGTGCTCTTTCCTAGCCACTACCTAGACACTTCCTAGACACTTCCTAGCGCCTGCCGCCTCACTCCAACGCCGAGGCGTGCCCTTTCCTAGCCACTACCTAGACACTTCCTAGACACTTCCTAGCGCCTGCCGCCTCACTCCAACGCCGAGGCGTGCTCTTTCCTAGACACTTCCTAGACACTTCCTAGACACTTCCTAGACACTTCCTAGTGCCTGCCGCCTCACTCCAAGGCCGAGGCGTGCTCTTTCCTAGACACTACCTAGACACTACCTAGACACTTCCTAGACACTTCCTAGCGCCTGCCGCCTCACTCCAACGCCGAGGCGTGCTCTTTCCTAGACACTACCTAGACACTTCCTAGACACTTCCGTGCGCCTGCCGCCTAACTCCAACGCCGAGGCGTGCTCTTTCCTAGACACTACCTAGACACTACCTAGACACTTCCTAGCGCCTGCCGCCTCACTCCAACGCCGAGGCGTGCTCTTTCCTAGACACTACCTAGACACTTCCTAGCGCCTGCCGCCTCACTCCAACGCCGAGGCGTGCTCTTTCCTAGACACTACCTAGACACTTCCTAGACACTTCCTAGCGCCTGCCGCCTCACTCCAACGCCGAGGCGTGCTCTTTCCTAGACACTACCTAGACACTTCCTAGACACTTCCTAGCGCCTGCCGCCTCACTCCAACGCCGAGGCGTGCTCTTTCCTAGACACTACCTAGACACTTCCTAGACACTTCCTAGCGCCTGCCGCCTCACTCCAACGCCGAGGCGTGCTCTTTCCTAGACACTACCTAGACACTTCCTAGACACTTCCTAGCGCCTGCCGCCTCACTCCAACGCCGAGGCGTGCTCTTTCCTAGACACTACCTAGACACTTCCTAGACACTTCCTAGCGCCTGCCGCCTCACTCCAACGCCGAGGCGTGCTCTTTCCTAGACACTACCTAGACACTTCCTAGACACTTCCTAGCGCCTGCCGCCTCACTCCAACGCCGAGGCGTGCTCTTTCCTAGACACTACCTAGACACTTCCTAGACACTTCCTAGACACTTCCTAGCGCCTGCCGCCTCACTCCAACGCCGAGGCGTGCTCTTTCCTAGACACTACCTAGACACTTCCTAGACACTTCCTAGCGCCTGCCGCCTCACTCCAACGCCGAGGCGTGCTCTTTCCTAGACACTACCTAGACACTTCCTAGACACTTCCTAGCGCCTGCCGCCTCACTCCAACGCCGAGGCGTGCTCTTTCCTAGACACTACCTAGACACTTCCTAGACACTTCCTAGCGCCTGCCGCCTCACTCCAACGCCGAGGCGTGCTCTTTCCTAGACACTACCTAGACACTTCCTAGACACTTCCTAGCGCCTGCCGCCTCACTCCAACGCCGAGGCGTGCTCTTTCCTAGACACTACCTAGACACTTCCTAGACACTTCCTAGCGCCTGCCGCCTCACTCCAACGCCGAGGCGTGCTCTTTCCTAGACACTACCTAGACACTTCCTAGACACTTCCTAGACACTTCCTAGCGCCTGCCGCCTCACTCCAACGCCGAGGCGTGCTCTTTCCTAGACACTTCCTAGACACGTCCTAGACACTTCCTAGCGCCTGCCGCCTCACTCCAACGCCGAGGCGTGCTCTTTCCTAGACACTACCTAGACACTTCCTAGACACTTCCTAGCGCCTGCCGCCTCACTCCAACGCCGAGGCGTGCTCTTTCCTAGACACTACCTAGACACTTCCTAGACACTTCCTAGCGCCTGCCGCCTCACTCCAACGCCGAGGCGTGCTCTTTCCTAGACACTACCTAGACACTTCCTAGACACTTCCTAGCGCCTGCCGCCTCACTCCAACGCCGAGGCGTGCTCTTTCCTAGACACTACCTAGACACTTCCTAGACACTTCCTAGCGCCTGCCGCCTCACTCCAACGCCGAGGCGTGCTCTTTCCTAGACACTTCCTAGACACTTCCTAGACACTTCCTAGCGCCTGCCGCCTCACTCCAACGCCGAGGCGTGCTCTTTCCTAGACACTACCTAGACACTTCCTAGACACTTCCTAGCGCCTGCCGCCTCACTCCAACGCCGAGGCGTGCTCTTTCCTAGACACTACCTAGACACTTCCTAGACACTTCCTAGCGCCTGCCGCCTCACTCCAACGCCGAGGCGTGCTCTTTCCTAGACACTACCTAGACACTTCCTAGACACTTCCTAGCGCCTGCCGCCTCACTCCAACGCCGAGGCGTGCTCTTTCCTAGACACTACCTAGACACTTCCTAGACACTTCCTAGCGCCTGCCGCCTCACTCCAACGCCGAGGCGTGCTCTTTCCTAGACACTACCTAGACACTTCCTAGACACTTCCTAGCGCCTGCCGCCTCACTCCAACGCCGAGGCGTGCTCTTTCCTAGACACTACCTAGACACTTCCTAGACACTTCCTAGCGCCTGCCGCCTCACTCCAACGCCGAGGCGTGCTCTTTCCTAGACACTACCTAGACACTTCCTAGACACTTCCTAGCGCCTGCCGCCTCACTCCAACGCCGAGGCGTGCTCTTTCCTAGACACTACCTAGACACTTCCTAGACACTTCCTAGCGCCTGCCGCCTCACTCCAACGCCGAGGCGTGCTCTTTCCTAGACACTACCTAGACACTTCCTAGACACTTCCTAGCGCCTGCCGCCTCACTCCAACGCCGAGGCGTGCTCTTTCCTAGACACTTCCTAGACACTTCCTAGACACTTCCTAGCGCCTGCCGCCTCACTCCAACGCCGAGGCGTGCTCTTTCCTAGACACTACCTAGACACGTCCTAGACACTTCCTAGCGCCTGCCGCCTCACTCCAACGCCGAGGCGTGCTCTTTCCTAGACACTTCCTAGACACGTCCTAGACACTTCCTAGCGCCTGCCGCCTCACTCCAACGCCGAGGCGTGCTCTTTCCTAGACACTACCTAGACACTTCCTAGACACTTCCTAGCGCCTGCCGCCTCACTCCATCGCCGAGGCGTGCTCCGCGTGCGTGCGCGGCGAGCAGTAGCAGCGGTTGATCACTCGTTCGGTGGCCAATCGTCAGGCGTGCTCCGCGTGCGTGCGTCCGCGGCGAGCAGTCTCGACAAGTAGCTGATACAGTGGCCGACTCCTCAGGCGTGCTCCGCGTGCGTCCGCGCGGCGTCGCAGCTGCCGCCAGACGAGGCGGCCGCTGCGGCAGAGGGCGGCCATCACCCATAGTCGCTAATCACCCATTGTTGATGGCTGTTAACCAGGCGGCCGCTGCGGCGGAGGGCGGCCGGTTCGGCATCTCCCGCCGCCGCCACCACTGCCGCCACTGCGGCGGCGCCTTCTGCGCCGCCCACCTAAAGTGGCGCGCGCCTCTGCAGCACAAGTACTCTGGTGTTGGCCCTGCGGGGCAGCGGGTGTGCGAGGGGTGCGCGAGGCAGATCGCGAGGGAGGAGCACGAGAACAGGCTCGCCATATCTCCCCATATCCCCCCATGTCTCCTCATGTCTCCCCATATCTCCCCATATCCCCCCATATCTCGGCGAGGGAGGAGCACGAGAACAGGCTCGCCATATCTCCCCATATATCCCCCCATATCTCCCCAAGCCTCCCGGCTGGTGCGCCGCGTCGACCCGTTCGCCATGAGCAGAGGATTAGCTCACCGGTTGAGCAGGCTCGCCTCGCGGCTTGTGCGATGTGTCGAGTTCGGCGCGGGCTCGCTGCGGCCATACGTCGAGGTGCTCGACGACACGTCCACGACACGTCCCTGTGACACGTCCACGACACGTCCCTGTGACACGTCCACGACACGTCCTCCCTGACACGTCCCTGACACGTCCCCGACACGTCCCTGACACGTCCCCGACATGTCCGTCGAGGTGCTCGACGACACGGTGGCGTCGAAGGCGAGGCGGGCGGGCGAGCTGACGCTGGCGGCGGCGCGGCGGCTTCCCCTCTCTGCCAAGCTGCACGCGACGGTCTGGCTCGGCAGCGACGCGCGAGAGTGCAGCGTAGTGCAGTTTGTCGGTGACTCCGCACGCACTGTCCACTGTTCAGGTGGTTGGACTCGACAACGCGCGAAAGTACGGCCGGCTCGGCCTCGCGGGCCTCTTCCCTAGGCACCGCCCATGACATGTCCTCGACACGCCCCCCGCGGCCAGGTACGGCCGGCTCGGCCTCGCGGGCGTTCTGCTGCGCGAGGACCTAGTTCGGAGGCTCATCACCTAATTAACTATGATTAGCTATAATGAGTTGGTTATAACTAATTAGGACCTCGTTCGGATGCTCATCACGCTGCGTGCGGTCGGCGGCGAGGCGATCGCGCGCAAGCCGGTGCACGAGCTCACCGGCGCTCTCTACTACCTGATGGCACGGCGGCGCGAGGAGCGGGGCGCCTTCCCGACGTTCGAGGAGGCTGCGCATGCGGGCTGCGCCGTGCCCACGGACGCCGAGGTCGCAGATTTGGGCGAGTGGGCGCCTCTGGCCTTGCGGGTGGCGTACGAGACGACGCTGGTGGAGCATGCAGCGGCGCGCGAGGCTGGCTCTCTGCTAGATCTCCGGTTGAGTGTGGGAGTCCTCGGCTACAGGTGGACATGCAGCGGCACGCGAGGCTGCACGGGTACGAGCTGCTCTTCGCCGAGCTGCAGGGCGCCACGCACGCGCGCGGAGCCCACAGGCTCGCTCCCCCCCCCCCCCACCTTTCCCCCCACCTTTCCCCTCACCAGTACACACGCACGCACCCACCCACCCTCACACACACACACACACACACACACACACACACACACACACACACACACACACACACACACACACACACACACGCACACGCACACACACACACGCACACACACACGCACACACACACGCACACACACGCGCGTCTGTGATACCCCCATCACGGCGTGAGGACGAGTGCGCCAGGCCCGCCTTCTCCTTCCTCGCGTGCCGCGCCCGACGCCGCGCCGTGCTGGTCGTGCGCGGCACGCAGGCTCTCTGCTCCGGCACCGGCACCGACTCGCGCGCTGGTCGGTCTCGCCGCTGATTGGCTGGCTGTTTGTGTTCAGGACCTCTCCGACATCGTCACCGACTCACGCGCGCACGCCACCCGCTTCTGCGGCGGCTGGGCGCACGCGGGCGTTCCCTCGCCTCGGCGCGCTGGACTGTCGACGAGCAGCCGAAGAGTGGACGAACGAGTTGCTTAACAGGCATGGCTCGGACGGCGCGCTGGCTGCAGCGCGAGCTGGGCGCGCTCCCCCCCCCCCCCCCCCCCTTCCTCCTCTGCAAGATGTGAATGAGCCGACTGACTACGAAGCGGCAAGCAACGTGTTAGGCCCCTGCCTCCTCCACCTCTCCGAGATCTGCGGCTGCGAGATCGTGCTGGCGGGCCATTCCCTCGGCGCGGGCGTCGCCGCCCTCCTCGCCGCCCTCCTCCTCCCCCGCCTCCCCGCCCTCCGCTGCGTCGGCTTCGCGACGCCGTCGTGCGCCGCGGGCGAGGCAAGTTGGGCCCGTTCACAGCTGGAGGTGTGAAGAGACGCTGTTCACAGGTGCGCCGCGGGGGAACGTCTGCTCGCGTCGCTGCGCGCGTGCAGCGTCTCACTCGTGCACCGCAACGACGCGGTGCCGCGCGCGACGCTGCAGTCGGCGAGCTTTCTTTTCGGCGCTGCACGCTCGGCTGAGCCACATCGCCGGCTATCCTCGCAATGGCTCTCCGATAGGTGAGCACTCTCTTCGACGAGCTCGCCGCCTTCACCGACTGGAAGGAGGACCTGCAGGCGGACTGGCAGAGCGTCCTAGACCGCGCAAAATCGCTCTGGGCGCCACGCATTCGCTCGCAGCCTTCGCCGCCTCCTCCGCCACCCGCTGGGGCGGCGGCGGAGGCGGTGGAGGCGGCAGCGGCGGCGGCGGAGGCGGCGGAGGCGGCGGCGGCGGCGGAGGCGGAGGCGGCGGCGGAGGCGGCGGCGGCGCAGGCAGCGGCGGCGACGGAGCCGGCGGCGGAGTTGAAGGCGGAGGGAGTGGGATCGGCGGGCGGCGACGAGGGAGGCGGCGGGTGTGGCGACGGCGTGACGCCTCCCCAGCAGCCATTCATGGCTGCGGCGGCGGCGCTGCCGGTGGCGGTGAGGGAGGCGGAGGGGGGCGAGGGCGAGGCGGGGCTTGGGGAGGTGCAGGTGGCGGTGCTGGAGGCGTTGGAGGAGGCGGTGGAGGAGGCTGAGGCGGAGGCGGCGGAGGAGGAGGAGGCGGAGGCGGAGGAGGAGGAGGCGGAGGCGGAGGAGGCGGAGGGGGAGGCGGCGGCGGAGGCGGCGGAGCCGGCGGCGGCGGCGGCGGCGGCGGCGGCGGAGGCGGTTGCGGAGGCGGCGGCGGCGGCGGCGGAGGCGGCGGCGGAGGCGGCGGAGGCGGCGGAGGCGGAGAGAGAGGACGCATTTGAGGCAGACGGTGCGGGCGTGGGCGGTGAGGGGGGCGGCGAGGGGGGCGCCAAGGGGGGCGGCGAGGAGGACGGCGAGGGGGAGTACGGCGACGAGGTGGAGAGCGGTGTCGACTGGTTACTCGAGGCGGAGGAGTGGCCGGGGGCGGAGGAGGGGGAGGGGAGGGGGCACACCGACGCAGCAGTCAAGGGCGCGGCGCGGCACGGCCCCACGCTGCGCATCCCGGGGCGCGTGATGCACCTCTACCCCGTCCACGGCGTGTACACCGCCGCGTGGGTGGCCGCCGACTTCCCGCCGCTGACAAGCATCGCGCTCGCACCGCACATGATCAACGACCACCGAGGCAGGGAGTACCTCGCCGCCCTGCGTGGCCTCCGCGCCGGCCGTTCCGCGCCGCGCACTCCGCCCGCGTGGGCACCCTTCCGTGACGGCGCCGCTTGCGCCGTGTGCTCGGCGCCTTTCGTGTGGGAGTCGACCTGCCGCTCGTCGGCGCAGGAGGTGTGTGCGCGCCACCACTGCCGCGCGTGCGGCCGCGTCGTCTGCGGCGCCTGCTCGGCGCACGAGGTGTGCCTGCCCGACTTTGGCATCGTCGAGCCCGTGAGGGTGTGCGACGCGTGCGCGTGGACGCTCTGAGCTCTGGGATGGCCCCTGTGCGCCGTGGTGCGGGGGTTAGTGGCAATGGTGCGGGACGAGCGGCTGCTGTCCTTTTTGTTTTTACGTGCCCGTGCTCTGATCTCTTTGTGTGCGCCCCCTCCCAGCGCTCTGGCTGAACGCAAAGGAACATAACGAAAAGCAGGTATCAACGAGCTAATTTTAGCCGTCCGCTCGACCGCTCCGGCCTCCTCCAGCCGTCCACGCGTCGTCTCCACCCCCCCTACGCGGCTTTAGTCAGAGCGACAGGCACCAGGGGGGAGAGTTTTGGGACGAGATGGGTCGCGCAGCCTTGAGGTGGAGAGGAATGGTCGTAAGTACTGAGGCCGCCACAGTGAAAGCGAAGAGAAATCTCTCTCCCACAGTGCAGGCTAACCTCGGAATGTGACAGCAGTATGGCTGTGAACGTTCCTGCACAGCCATCTTACCTAGGGATGGCTGAGCTAGCTACAGTGCAGCCATAGCCTCCAGCCCGATGGCTGCGATACACAGCGGGCAGCCATCCTGACTAGGGATGGCTGGAAGCTCGCTGCTGCAGCCATACCGCCCGCCCCGGGGCGGGCCCTCATGGCTGAGCTGGCTATATCGCAGCCATTTTGGGTAAGATGGCTGGGGCACAGCCATTGCAGCCATCTGCTATGGCTGGAGCACAGCGATTGCAGCCAGGAGCATGGCTGGTGATAATCGACAGCAGCCATCCCGCCACCCCCGCCACGTGCGCAGATGGCTCCCGCACTCGTCGCCCCAGCCTCGCGAGAGGGGGGCTGCCCGGATAGCTGGTGAGAAAAAAATCCCAGCCATCTAGCTTTTTCGCCCATGGCTGCACAAGTTTCAAGCCAGCCTCCCTCAATCCAGCGCTCAAAGATGCTCGCAACGAGTTTATAGCAGCCAAACTCCTGCCAACATTCCGAGGTTAGCCCGTGCCCCCGAGTTCATTTTGTGTGTACTTGTTACGTGAAAACCTATAGCCCACAGTGCAACTTACCTATCGCCCCTACAACTGTATCGGCCAGCGTTGAGCGGGGATGGATTTTGGAACAGTATGATCCAGCCGCAGCAACGCGAGCCGACCCCAGGCCGCTTCCAGGCGCGGCACCAGGTTGGCGGAACGAAAATCTACCTTGGCTGCTTCGACAGTGCGGTGGAGGCGGCGGTTGCCCATGCACAGGCGGTAGAGGAAGCCGGCCCGCCCCGCGCCCCAAAGCGCTCACCCGAGCCGCCCAAAGCGCGGCCACCGAAGAAGCGGCGCTCCGCGGCCGCCGGGCCCTCGGCGGTTTCGACGCCCTTTCCGAGCTTTCGGCCGTTGCCGGTGATCGTCGCGAAGCCGGGCAGTACTTATGACGGGATGCGAGGCCGCGTCGCCTCCTCCTCAAATGGCTTCTATCGGGTCGAGCTTGACGGCGTGGGCGTGCACCTCTTTCGGCGGCGGGACTTGTCTCTCAGCATCGATTACGAGCGCGATGGCGGCGGTGCGACGGCACCCTCACCGGATCCCCGATTGCCGCCAGGTTGGGTCGAAGAGAGCCGCCAGCGCAAGAGCGGCACCGTCTACCGCATCTACTACGGCCCTGCTGGAGAATATGCGGAGTCCATTCGCCAAGCATGGGCGGGCGGCAAGGGCGCCAGGGGCGGTGCGATTCGTCCCGCAACCGTCGCTGCTGCAGAGGGGCCGCCGCCCGAGGGTGGGCCATCACCAGCACCGACGGCGTCGGTGCCGGAGTCGTCCCAGCCGCATCCGATTGGCATGCAGCTGGTAGTGCAGGCCCTCCATTCAGTTGGGCTATCGCAATACGCCGACGGCTTTGACGAACAGGGCTATGATGATCTCAACTACCTTTGCGGGATGGACGCGGCGGAGCGGGCGGTTGTGGCAGAGGCGACGAAGATGCGACCGGGCCATGCGGCCAAGTTTGTCATGTTTGGTTTGCGGTCGCCCGCCTGATCTTTGAGTCCACTGGTTGAGAGCGCAGTCCGCTACTCCGGGAGTGTGGAGTGCAGCTCTTCTGGAGCTCACATGCTCTACACAGAATCCAGAATGATCCACAGCCTACTGTGCGCAGCTGCCACAGCTTTGACAGCGATGGGCTTGCCCATTGGCCGTGGCCCTCAGTCACTTGTGCTGTGGCGTGTGTGAACGAAGCTGCTGACTACGCTATTAGTGCTTGACCCACATCAGCCCCGAGGGCAGATAGATCCTTCTCTACTCGTATGTGGAGCCGAGAACAGAAAGATACAACTCCCAACAACACTGCCTCCGGACCACGTGGTGTCCTCTCCCTCACCGAGCGTGTATCGCGCTTCTTAGGGTGGGGGACGAAAAGAGCAAGTAAGGAACCCCGTACGCCCTCGAGACCTCGGGGGGGTCGAAAGCAAATATATGTGCGGCCGAGGTAACCGACACGCGCCCGTCAGCAGCGCTCTTGCGCGCCACTGCACACGCAGATGAGGAGCGCTCTGCAGGAGCTCGGCGTCACGCTCACGCCGTCGACAACGCCGTCGCCGCATGCGACGGCGCCGACGCAATCATACATCGACGTCCGCTTCGCTGGCTCCGCCGCCGACCTCCACTCGATCACCTTCAGAAACTACTACACCGCCAGGTGAGCCCTTTTCCCAGCCTGCCGCCGCATGCTCCCACGGCTACCTCACCACCGCCACGGCCATCCCGCAGTGCTGTGCATCATCTCGCCGCCGCCACCTCGTTCACCTCTCACCACACTGCCGCCCTCTCACCGCCGCCAGCGTCTCGATTCTCTTTGCCGCACGGCCAGCCAAGACAGGGCCCGAGGTTGCGCCGGCTTGCGGCGCAGACGTGGTGGACGGGCAGCGCACGCCGCGCGAGGTCGTGTGGCAGACATTGGTTCCTCATCTCCAGCTGATGGCCGACCTCCACTCAGAGGATGACGCTCAGGCATCCGATTTGGCTGAGATGTCGAGATGTAGATGAATATGACTATCTGACCGCACAGCTTTCACACCCGCGTGCCCCAGCCTTAACTAACGCGCTCCACAATAATTACTGCCAAGCACGTGTCAGCTCCCAAGCTCACGCGCAGCACGAGTGGCTCTGAGCCAAAACATCGAGCCTCACTGCTAGTGGCGTGCAGGCGGAGCACTGCATCGATGCCGCCTCCTTCCCGGCATCCTTCGATCCGCGCCGCGTCTCGCAACTCCGCATCTGCCTCTCGCAGCCGTCGCCACTCTGGAGGACGCATTGCGCAGATGCGAAACACGCGCCGCCAGATTCACTCCACCTTACAACATGACCGCCCCGCCTACGTTGCCCCTTTACGCGCCATGCATTTCGTTAGGACGCACACGCTGCACGGGCTCCGCTTCTTCGGCCGCCGCTGCCCGCTCACAGCGAGGCCAGCTCCCTTCTCCGAAAAGGGGCTGCTAGCGGCGCGAATATCTGTGCTTGCTGCTGAAGTGGAGGCGCTTGCCGCGGGGGCGGTGCAGGTGAGAGTTGCCTCTCGAGGACCGTAGCTTGCAAGAACACCGCTCCCGTTTCGGCGCGAACAGCACTCCAATGAACGCCCCGATTGCGCACAATCGCCCGCACCGCCCCCTCCCACGTTGCGTGCAGGTGCGTCCCACACTTGACGAGGTGTTGCCTGCGCGGCGCGACCTCGAGCACGTCAGCCCGTATCTCGTGGGCGAGTTTGATGATGTGGTGCACCTCGCCGAGTCCCAGACTTGAAAAAAACTGTTCAGTTTTCAAAGGCAAAACACGACGCTCTGCGGTTGGTGCACCCCTCACACTGACACATTCCCCTCATCCCTTACCCTTGGCTGAGCACATCTACCTGCGAGCTAGTCTCTCGGCATTCTCTCCCCTAGTCATCCGCCCGCGCCGCGCGCCATCTAATGGGCGTCTAGTGCAGCCACTGACGGCACTATTCCAAAGGAGCGGTCGATGCCTCGCCTAGAGTTCGGGTGGACTTGCGCACTGCTTAGCCCTGAGGGGGGAGTGTGTGTGAGGTGGTGTAATGTTGTCCCGTTTCAGGCGGCAGGTCAGGGGATTAGCCGGGAGGATTCGGCAGCTCAGCCGGGTGCCGACGCTTGTCCGACCCGGTCGTGCCAGCGTGTCGTGGGACATACAATTGTAGCTTGGGAAACGTGGCCCAAGTCTGTCGTGCGTCCCAATCAGCTCATCGCAACGAAGCAGCGCAACAAGTTGGCTGCTACCAACAAGGTCCTATGCTACGCGCGGATCGTTCAAAGAGGACCAGCGCATACACACACAGGCTTCTCTGACATGCGTTTGTTTGAGCTTGAGGCTATTAGTGAGAAATGTTTGGCTAGAGATTGCGCTCAAGAAGCAGCAACGAGAATCGGAAGGGGAGGATGCTGAGGCGGCGATTGCTGAGGCATGAGGAGGATCGATCCGGATTTTAGTAGGCGCCCGCCGCAGGCGAGGAAAATTCGGGCGGAGCGCCGTATCGATCACATCACACCCGGGCCAGTGTGCTTGCACTTTGAATGCCGTGGGGCTCCTGCCCGTGTCCGGGTGTGGAGATGCGAGGGTCGCCCCCCCTTGCCCCACCACTTGTGTGTGTGGAGAAATTTACCGTGCCTTACATTACCTTACACACATGCAACCTGTAAAGGGCGATATGTCGCCCCCCCTTGCCCCCCGGCCCCACCACTGGTTGGGTAGTAGTCTAAGTTCTGAGCCTCGACGCCTAGCGGGTCTAAGTGTGCCTAGGCACGCTGGGGTGCTTGCGCGGTCTAAGATCAGCGGGGGCCTCTTACATCGGCTAAGTCGACCGTGGCACGGCCTGGGGCCAAGAGGCTCCCACCGTGGGAGGGCAGGGGGCTTGCGTTTACTTTCACAAGAAACACACGTACACGCAGTCACACCGCCAGAGCTAAGTACTCGCATCTATCTCTCTCTCTCTCTATGTCCTCTCTTCGTTCCCTGGTGGGTGTGGTCAGGGGACTGGCGCGGCGCTTCGCGCGGGCGCGGGCTGTCCGGTCTGCAATGACAGCAGCGAACGGCGCGGGCGGTACCCCCGCCACCTCCCTAGATCATCGCCCTCCGCCAGGTGTGGAGCCCCGCCCTCGCGCACGCCTCGAGCAGCAGCCGCTTGTCCGAGGGGCAGCGCATGCGGAAGTCTACCGTCCGGCGCGGGCCGACCCCTGCAGGGGGGCGGAGCTCCGGGACGGGTTGGCCGAGGGACGGCTCTGGCGGGACTCGCGTCGCGGGGGGGGGGGGGGGGGGGGTTTCCCCAAAAAGGCGGCAGCACGGCCCGGAGGGCGAGGCCCCCCTCCACCTGGAAAGGACGGGGAAAGGGAGGGGTGAGGGGCCAGGGCGGGAAAAAAGGGGAAGTCCCCCCCACACTTTGCCATATTTCGGCTGTGTCCCGGCTCTCGCTCTCTCGGGTGACCTCGACGCCGATCAGTTCCGAGGCGAGCCAAATGTTGGTGGCGGAGGTCCAGTCCTTTGGGTCGGACCTGGAAAGGGAGGTGGAGCTCACACGCAGCAGCCGCGCCTGTGCGGGAAGGTTCCGAGAAGGCTCACGGGGGGCAAGGTCCGGGAAGACTGGAGAGGCGAGGAGCGGACGCGCGTAGTCGCCGCGCCAGGGGTGCCTCCGCGTGACCAGGAAGCAGCAGGGGGCCGCCTGCGGGCGGGGAGGGCGGGGGTGGGCGGGTGGGGGAAGAGAGGCGCGCCCGAGTCAGCGAGGGGTGTCTCGGAAGCGTCTCGGAGGCGTCTGGGAAGCTTCCGCACCGCTCGCTGCTCCTCTGCGAGCGACCATGAGACGAGGAGCGCGTCGACGAGGGAGACGGACGAGTCGACGCTTAGCGATCGCGAGCGCGACTTGGTGGGCCCTTCTCCCGGATGCTGTGCGCGCTGCAGCCAGACTCGTATGCTGTCGTCCACGGCCGTGTCGGTGTCGAATATGTCGTCTGTGGACGGCGTCGCGGACATCGCGGCGACGCCATTGGTGGACGGCGTCGCGGACATCGCGGCGACGCCACTGGTGGACAGATTTCCGCGGGTCACGTCCCGTAGTCGGCAGCCTGCCGCGATCCGCGTCAGCTTCTCTCGCGCCGGCTTGCGCTGAGGCCACGCCGATTTGCGGTTCTGCACGATGCTGTCGCAGACATGCATGGCACGAATCGATGAGCACTGGTGAGGTTGCGCCGTAGCGGAGGTAGCTGCTTCGCACGTGCCTGGTTGGTGTCTCTGGTTGGTGTCTCTCTCGGCTCTTCCAGCAGCTTGGCACCTCATCGAAAATTCGGCTGCAAAATTCTTTTCATCGGTATAGCGAGCAGCGCCGCCTCTTTCTCTTCAACGCGGAGGCGCGGTGCAGCTCGGGCGACACCTTCATGTCGACCGAGGGCTGCGCGCAGGGCGATCCTCTCGGGCCCTTCCTCTTCGCCGTCGGCTATCATTGGACCCTGCTCGAGATGCAGGTGCGCAACCCGTCCGCCCTAATTTGCGCCTACCTTGACGATACCTACGTCGCGGACGCGCCGAGGGCGGCTCTCGAGGCGATGCTCGAGGGCGACGACCTTGCTCAACTCTGGAGTGGCGTCGAGAGCAACAAGTCCAAGCGGTGCATGTGGGCCCCCGACCCGCGCTCGCTCGACGCGGTGCGCAACCGCACGGATGTCAAGGGCACGCCGGACTCCGCAGACGGCGTCCTTCGCGGTATTCGCGTGCTCGGGGCGTACCTCGGGGACAAGGCGTGGTGCCGTGACAAACTTGTCAAGCGCGTCCGCAAGGCGCTGGAGCCGCTCTCGGTAACCTCACATCCAGGGCCGGTGAGCTGAGAAGCGCATCCAGCGGGCCGGATGATCGGGATCGGGCTACGGGCTAGAGAGCCCTGACCCCTAGCTAGGGGGGGTGCGCATTCGCAGGGCAAGGGCCTTAAAGTAAACACGGGTCTCCGAGGGTTAGTTCTGCGCTTTGGGTGCCCCCTAGCGGCGGAACGCCCCCTCTACTCGGAGCTAGTAAACACCAGACACTAGACATCTAACATGTTTTCTTTCTTTTTCTACTCGGAGCCAGTGATACGAGAATACGCACATGTGACAAGAATACACACTGCCCCCACGGAGTACCTGTACTACTCGACGATAATACAAGAATACGCAGCTTGGAAGTTGCAGACGCCTATAAAGAAAAAACAGCAAGCTAAATTTCGGCGGCTAAAAAGCAAAGGACGGGCGCTTTTGATCGGCAAAGCAAAGTTGGAGTAACGGCGACCGCGTCGCCACAATGCCAGTCGCCTGTCGAGCAGCCTTGGCGGCGCGCATGCGCCGCAGGGTTGACCGACAGCCGCGCGCCTCGAGCCTCTCGCTCCACTCGCGGCACGACGCGCCCCGCGCGCCGGTCAGCGCAGCAGGAGTATTGCGACATGCTGCACAACGCCAGGGACAGCACTGAGAAGCTGGCGCCAGTCGCCCACCAGCATGTCTCAGCACCGGGTGAGGGAGCATGCTGCGCACGCTGAAGCAGCACGAGGTCACCACCAATCAGGCCCTCACACCACTGCACGGCCGCCCTCGAGCACCAGCAGCCGCGCTGCGCCATGCTCAAGCTCAGGAGGCCACCCTGCTTCTCGCAGCTTTGTGCAGCGCAGCGAGCGAGCAGCGCCGCACCAGGCGGACCCATGGCGTGCTCAGCCAGCCGTGAGGCGGAGGCAGGCCGAGTGAGCGCGAGCCGCGCGGGAGGCCATGCCCCGCGCACCGGCGAGCGAGTGGCACGAAAGAGTGCAAGGTCGCGCATGCTTTTGCGTAACGTCCACTCGAGTTGTGTTGTCTAAATTCTTTTCCCTGTGTTCGTGCCAGTGCGCGCCAGTCCCGTGCCCAGTGTCGTGCGAGGGAGTTTTGTTGTAAGATTCTTTTCCCTGTGTCTTCGCCCGCTTCTGCCCTCGCTGGTCGTCTCGACGCTCGTCACCTCTGCGCGTTCACCCGTAGACACCGCGACTGTCCTCCACTTGGCCGCACAACATTCACAGTCGAATGGCCGCCGCCACGCTCTGGCTCTCGCGCATGAGCGCCGCCGACAAGATCGGCCAAATGACGCAGTTGGACATCTCCATGGTGCTCGCAGACGGCTGCCCGCTGCGCATCGACGACGCGAAGCTGCGCAGGCAGCTTCGCGTCCACCGGCTGGGGTCGCTGCTCAACTCTCCCTTCTCCGGCACCGAACCGCGATGCGGGTCGTCGGGCTGGAATGCGACTGATTGGCGCGCCGCTGTCGAGCACATCCAGACGGCCGCCGCCGACGAGGGTCTCCCTCCTCTCGTCTACGGCATCGACTCGGTCCACGGCGCGTCGTACTGCCGCGGCGCCACCCTGCTGCCGCAGCAGCTCGGCCTCGCCGCGTCCTTCGACGAGTCGCTCGCCGCCGCCTCCGGCTGGATCACCGGCAAGGACAGCCGCGCCGCGGCGACGCCGTGGATGTTTGCGCCCATCCTCGGCGTTGCGTCGCACCCGCTCTGGCCGCGCGTGTACGAGACGTTTGGCGAGGACCCGCTGCTGGTTGCGAGGATGGGCGCGGCGGTGGTGGAGGGGATGCAGCGGCGCGGCGGCGAGGGCGAGATCCCGGCGCGTGCGGCGGCGTGCATGAAGCACTTTGTGGCCTACTCGGCGCCGCGGAACGGGCACGACCGCGAGGGCGCGTGGCTGTCTCGGCGCGAGCTGGAGCAGACCTACCTGCCGCCCTTCCAGGCCGCGGTGGACGCCGGCGTACAGAGCGCGATGGAGAGCTACCAGGAGGTGAACGGCGAGCCCGTGGTTGGCTCGGCGGCGCTGCTGCAGGGGCTGCTGCGCGAGCGGATGGGCTTCGAAGGGCTGCTGGTGACGGACTGGCACGAGGTTCGGCCATTGGCATGCCCTTCAGTGGCGGAGTGCGCAGCAGCGTCTCTTCACGTCTTCCGGCTGTGAGCAGGTCGGCAACCTGCACGACTTTCATCGCGCGGCATCGCTGGAGCTCGAGGCGGTGCTGCTGCTGCTGCTGTCGCTCGGCTACCTCTCGGCTGCCTCTCTAGGCGAGCTCGCCGGAGGAGGCGGTACTCCTCGCCATCGGCGGCTCGAGCTCGCTCGACATGTCGATGGTGCGCACCGACGAGTCCTTCTCCCCTCCTCACCAGTTGACCCGCTCACACTGCGATGGCAATGACCGCAGGTGCCCACCGACGAGTCCTTCTCCCCTCCTCGCCAGTTGACCCGCTCACACTGCGATGGCAATGACCGCAGGTGCCCACCGACGAGTCCTTCTCCGTGCTGATGGAGCGGCTGCACGCGCGCGGAGCAATCGACGAGGCGCGAGCTCGACCCTTAATTCACCCTTCATCAACCCCTTAATTCACCCGTCATTCGCAATCGACGAGGCGCGGCTCGACGTGTCGGCGCTGCGTGTGCTCCGTCTCAAGGAGTGGTTCGGAAGGAATGAGTCGATCAACGAATCCACTAGTTAGCGAGTTGCTGCGGGCGCTGTCTCTAGGAGTGGCTCGGCCTGCTCCCGCCGCCGCCCGCCGTCCGCCCCCCCCCGTGGTCGGACAGCGAGGCGACGGTGCGGCTCGTCGAGAGCGTGGGCAGCGCCTCGGACGCCGCACTTGCCCACGAGGCTGCGCGCGCCACGGTCACGCTGCTCAAGAACGTTCCGCCGTTTGACGACGACGAGAGGCTGCCGCACCCCGCCCCCTCCGCCCCGCTCAGTCATTCTCATCCTCCCATATCGCCATATCGTCGTCCTCATCGCCACCAACCGCCATCGTCAGCTTGGTCGTTGCTGCCGTGGTTGTCTAGGCCACCCCTCCTCCCCCTCCTCCCCCTCCTCTAGGCCACCCCTCCTCCCCCTCCTCCCGGCCGACAAGGGAGGCTCCGTCCGCCGCGTCCTCGTGACGGGCGAGAGATAGCCGAGAGATAGCCTAGATATAGGCGAGGTATAGGCGAGGTATAGGCGAGATATAGCCGCGACCTCGTGACGGGCCCTGCTGCCGCCTCTCCGCGCCAGCCTCTCTTCACGCTTGCGGCTGTGAACAGGCCCCGCTGCCGACTCGCTGGGCCGCCTCTCTGGCGGCTGGACGGCGCACTGGCAAGGAACGCTCGCCGACGAAGAGATCCGCGCCGCGGGAACGCCGACGCTGCTCGAGGTCAACGCTCCCCAGATCTCCTCACACCTCCCCTCCGTCGCCTCGTCGCCTCTCCCCCCACTGCCACCTCCCTGCTCGCCGCCTCTTCCCCACCGCTGCCTCCCCCCCTCCCTCCTAGGCTCTGCGCGCTGCCGGCGGCTGGGAGGTGGACCACCTCCCCGGCTGCTCGCTCCCCGGCACCGCCTTTGCCGTTCGGTCGCCGTGCGCGCAGACAAACTCGACGGCTGAGCTGGTCGCTGCTGCGGCGCTCGCTGACGTCGTGGTACTTGGGCGAAGGGCACGCACAGAGGGGGGGGAGCGAGAGCAGCGCTCCTTCACACGTGCACGCTGTGGGTAGGTTGCCTGCTTGGGCGAGGACCCGCACACGGAGAAGCCAGGCGGCTCTGGACGACCTCTCGCACGTTTGCCGTGGACGGCGTCTGTTCACGGCTGCGCAGCTGTGAGCAGGCGACTTGGACGACCTCTCGCTCGACGCCGGTCAGCTCGACCTCGTGCGCGCCCTGAATCAGCCCTTAATTCACCCCTAATTCACCCTTAATTCGCCTTTCATTAGGTCAGCTCGACCTCGTGCGCGTCCTCGCCTCCGCCGGCAAACCCATCGCGCTCGTGCTGGTCACCGGCCGGCCGCGCCTCTTGCACGGCGTCGAGGCGCTGCCGCAGGTCAAGAGAGAGCGGAGAGCGAGAGGTGTGTGGGATGAGATCTTTGATCGAGAGAGGCGTCGAGGCGTTGCCGCAGGTCAACGCGGTCCTCCAGTCCTTCCTGCCGGGCCCGCACGGCGGCGCCGCGCTCGCCGACGCGCTGGTTGGCACTTTCGAGCCGTCGGGCCGGCTTCCAATCTCGTGGCCAACCGCCGCCTCCTCTCTCCTCTACCCGCATTGGCACCCCACCCCACGCAGCGGTGGCCGGCGCGCTGTGAACGGCGTCTCGTCACGCGGCCCCGCCGTGGGCGCAGGCACGCCGTCACGCAACAGTGCGACGGATCGCCCAACTGCGGCGTGGCGTGGCCCTTTGGGCACGGCCTCTCTCGCCCTAGAAGCGGAAGATCTCCCCATATCTCCCCATCTCTCTCGCCCTATAAGCGGAGCACGCACTCCCGTCTTCCAGCGAGAGGACACGGACTCCGCCGTCTTCGGCCGTCTTCCGCTGCATTCACTGTGTCCGCAGCCCCCTCGTATCCACGCGGTCCTCTGAAGACGCTGCACAGGACCCGGCTCCCTCTTCCCCCGCCCCCTGAGGTTGGTGTGTTCGGCTCGTAGGCCTCTCCTACACGCGGCTGCAGTACAGCCCCCTCCTCCTCTCCTCGGGCGCCCTCCCGCGAACCGGCGCGGTCAACGCGTCGGTGGCTGTCTCGAACCCTTCCTCACTCGCGCTCAACCACACGGTGCTTCTCTTTGCCGCCGCCGACTTCCGGCGAGCGGCCGCTCCCCGAGGCGCAACCTCGGCAAATCTCGGCATCAATCTCGGCGAATCTCCCCTCAGGCGGGTCATCCCGGAGGCGCAGCAGCTCAAGGCTTTCCTTGCTGCTGGAGCCGGACTCACCGCCATTCATAATTGACCGGGTGAGCGAGTGACTGCAGGCCTTCCGCCGCGTGCTGCTGCCGGCAGGCTCGAGCGTCGAGGTCTCCTTCACGCTGCGCGCGGACGACTTTCGGTACTGGGGCCTCGAGGAGCGGTGGGTGGTTGAGGGTGGTAACGTCTCGCTGTGGTGCGAGATCACTCGAGATCACCCGAGATCACTCGAGATCACTCGAGATCACTCGAGATCACTCGAGATCACCCGAGATCGCCGTGGTGCGAGACCCGCCCTCGATTCGCCCTCTGCTAATCTCGGATACACCTCGAGCACACCTCGAGCACACCTCGAGCACACCTCGAGCACACCTCGAGCACACCTCGAGCACACCTCGAGCATACCTCGAGCACACCTCGAGCACACCTCGAGCACACCTCGAGCATACCTCGCCTCGAGCACACCTCGAGCACACCTCGAGCACACCTCGGGCTCACCTCGAGCACACCTCGAGCATACCTCGGGCTCACCTCGGAGACAGGGCACACCTCGGATGCACAGGTGCGACCCGCTGCTGCGACCAAAGGGGCCTCTCGCCGCCCTTGGTGCGGTGACACGGCGGCGCGCGTCCGAGGGCAGCGGGCTAGCGGCGGCGCGGGCACGTCTGTACGTCGAGGGCGACACAGCCGCGGGCGCGGGGTTGGAGGTGGCGGGTTGAGCGGCGCCTCTTCACGGCTCGCACTGTGAACAGGCGATTGCCGCGGGACGGGGTGTGGGACGGCCGGCTGGCTGGAGCGAGACGCGTCCGGCCGTTGGCACGAGCTTGGCGGTTCTTCCCCTCGCCACGGCGATGGCGGCGGCGGGAGCCGGATGGGGTCGCAGCTGCTGCTGACTGCGGCCACCCTCGCCCTCGGCTGGCTGCTCGGCTGTCTCTCCGCCGGCAAGTGCGACGCCGCCAAGCAGTGCGCGAGGCGGACTTTCGTGGCGGGGCGCCGGCGCGCCATCAGCGAGATGCCTCTCACTCACCACCAGCGCAGCGTCGTCGGCGGCAGCGAGATGGCGCCCCTCCCTCCGGCGGACGGCGGCGGCGTGGGGACGGCCGCTCCGGCGGGCCGGGGATCGCACGACCTCTCACACGCCTCGGATCACACGTCGCCTCGCGACAACGTCGACTTTGGCGAGCGCGACCCCGCGGGCCCGCCGCGGCCGGACAAGGCGTGGACGCACCACTGACAGGACCCCAGCCTGCGCGATGCGCCGTGGAAAAGCGCATCAAACAGAGGCTGCTCTAAATGTACGGCTCTGTGGTTGGTCACGGGACGATCTGAGTATGCATTGGCCGTCTGTGTGAAGTACTGTTACGTACACGGAGTTTTGTCACATGCGGTTTTTTGCGTTTGGGGAAGGTCACACTTTCTAGGCGGCGGCGAAAGTACAGTAACGACGGCCATGCTAACACGACGGGCGATAAAAGGCAAGTCCGCGGGGGAAGAACTTTTCGCCGCTGCCACACGCAATCACGGTCCCACCGGCCCTCACTCCGGGGGACGCGATGTACAAAGCATACAAGAGGAGGAGAAAAAAGAGGAGAGGCGCCAGTGGTGACGAAGCAGAAACTAGCGCAGACGAGAGCAGGGCAGACCCGGGGACTTGGAAAAAGGCCCGGCAGAAGGCGAACAAGGCGGAGAGGAAGGCTGCGGCGGCGGCCGCGAGCGAGGCCGAGCGTGCGGACTACCCGCACGCGCAGCTGCGCGAGAACGTCAAGTTCGTGATGGAGGGCTTGGAGGCTGCGACGCAGGCGGCGCGCAACCCCACAGGGTCCAACATTCAGGTCGCCTACTCGCTGCCTCCCGAGGGGGGCAGCGGGTTCGGCGACCTGGTGTACGCCACGGTCCCTCTGGGCTCCGTGGCGACGAAGGTCGCCCGGGACTGGCTCGCCAACGAGCTCTACGAGCCGTCCCGGCGCGGCAAAATTGATGCGGCCTGCAGGGACCGAAAGGTCGCCGACCTGATCACGGCTGCCGGCGCCTCGGTGCCGGCCGACGCCGTGTTCAGCGGCAGGTTCGCCTCGGGCGAGACGCCCCGCTCGACGACCTCCGCCTCCGAGGCGGACGAGGGCGACGGCGCCGGCGGCGATGGCGGGACCGGCTTCGACCTGTTCGGGCCGGACCCCACCCCCATGGAGGACCTCTGAGGTCCTCCCCAGTCTCACCCCACCTTACCTCTGCCCCCCCCTCCCCCCATCCCTCTGCCTCCCATAGGGCAGGATAGCACTAGCATATGCGCCGAGTGCGCACACTGGGCCCACATAGATGTGACCCGCCCACTCGAGTGCGGCGCCCGGATGCTAGTGCTTGAGAAGACACCACAAACGCGGCAACACACACGCGCGCGCGCGCGCGCGCGCGCACACGCGCGCCTCTTAAATAAATAAAAACGGACACCTCTCTACTGTGAGATGGGTAAAAAGGAACAGGTCCCCGCCCTTGCGGTCTTTGTGCAGGGTTCTTTGTGGGTGTGGTCGGCGACTAGCCGGGGTCGTCCTCCCGGTGGGGGACTAGCACTAGCCGTCTTCCACATGGTCCCTCGGGTCCCTGCTACTCCTAATCTCTTCGTACATCCTCCTGCTGATCTCCGCAAAGTCCTGCTCCCTCCCTCGTCTCGCCCTGCGCGTCTGCTGCGCCTCACCGTCTTCTGCCCTGCGTCGTCTGGCGACGGGTCCTCCATGCATAGTCGGTCGAGGTCGCCGCCCTCCTCGTGCCTCTTCCCAACGTTCCCTCGGCGGCCGATGCCGTCTGCTCCGGCTCCCCAGTCCCCGGGTCTGCCCTGCTCTCGTCTGCGCTAGTTTCTGCTTCGTCACCACCGGCGTCTCTCCTCTTCTTTCTCCCCTTCTTGTATGCTTTGTACATCGCGTCGATTCCTTTTCGCGTGAGCACCAGCCTGAAGCCCGCCCAGCATCTGAACCGCTCCCTAAGTCGAAGGAGCATCATCAGTCTCACCCACTTCGCTCTCTGCCCACCGTCTCCGCTCCCTCCCGTCACACACGGCTCTTGATGACCTCGCGCCATCTGTTTTGATTGATAGAAAGGCGAAACACAGTCCGACCAACCGCGACTGGGACACCAAAACGACCACCGACGGCGACGCCCGCTCGCCGCAACCCGCATCGTCTGGCGGTAAAGCGTATCTCGCACGTCTCCGCTCGCTCGGCGCGCATCGCCGTGCGCCATGCCCATGATATTCGAGCTTTTGACGATAGGCCGGAGTACACGGCCCATTCCTAGACCTTTTACCCGCTCATATCCGACTGTCATCTGCCCCGAAAGAAACCTCCGGCACGGCTCCCCCAAACCGCTCTCCCCCGTGCCAGAGGCTTCGTACGCAGCAACATAAGCCCCCTCCCCCCTTCCCTCCCCCGCCAACCCCCCCGCCCCCCCTCGGACCACCGCCGGCGCCGCAGGCTCAGTCGATCACGAACTTCTTTAGCCGCCCCTTGTTCTTGGGCGGCGGCACCTATGTATTGGACGTGTCACGGACTCGTCCTGGACACGACCTCGTGGACTAGACCGCCCGCCGTCCTCGGAATGCGGCGCCGGCCCGCCGCCCGCACGCCGCGGGGGGCCGCCGAGCTTGGCGAAACGCCGGGCCTCGTCTGCCTACGTCCTCTCGGGCCCTCTCGGGTCATCTGGGCGCGGCTTGAGCACGGCTAATCTCGGCTAATCTCGGCTAATCTCGGCTAATCTCGGGTCATCTGGGCGCGGCTTGAGCACGGCTAATCTCGGCTAATCTCGGCTAATCTCGGCTAATTTCGGGTCATCTGGGCGCGGCTTGAGCACGGCTAATCTCGGCTAATCTCGGCTAATCTCGGGTCATCTTAGCGCGGCTTGACGACACCCCGACACAAGCACGCGTCCTCTCGAGTGCTAGTCCTCAAGACACGCCACAGATCTGCGCTCGGCGTCTCGGCGTGCTATGCAGTTCTATGGTCGGCCTCGAAGGCGGCGAGCAGGGCGTCGGAGAGGTTCTCGCGCGGCTCCCACCTAATCTCGGGGCAATCTCCGCCGAATCTCGGGCGATCTGGCGTCTGAGAGCTTCTCTCGCGCACCCCGAGGTGTCGTCGTTCTCGACAGCTGATCTCGGCTGCGATCTCGGCTGCGATCTCGGCTGCGATCTCGGCTGCGATCTCGGCTGTGATCTCGGCTGTGATCTCGGCTGTGGTCTCGGCTGTGATCTCGGCTGCGATCTCGGCTGCGATCTCGGCTGCGATCTCGGCTGCGATCTCGGCTGCGATCTCGGCTGCGATCTCGGCTGCGATCTCGGCTGCGATCTCGGCTGCGATCTCGGCTGCGATCTCGGCTGCGATCTCGGCTGCGATCTCGGCTGCGATCTCGGCTGCGATCTCGGCTGATCTCACGTGTCGTCGTCGACGGTGAAGCCGGCCCACCGCACCAAGTACTCCTCGGCGCCTGTTGGAGACGAGAGTTGAGCGGCCGCAAGAATGCGGCGCGAGGGTGCGATCTCGGCGCGTCTCGTGCCGGGAGCGCGGTGAGCACGCCTCCGGCCAATCTCAGTCTGGGCGAGCCTCGGCGCGAACCTCCGGCGAATCTCGGACGAATCTCGGGCGAATCTCGGGCGACTCTCGGGCGACTCTCGGGCGACTCTCGGGCGAATCTCGGCGAATCTCGGCGAATCTCGGCGAATCTCGGGAGAATCTCGGCGAATCTCGGCGAATCTCGGGAGAATCTCGGCGAATCTCGGCGAATCTCGAGAGACCCGTCCACGACGCGCCGCGCGCGCAAGCACTCCACCTCGTACTCCTCCTCCTCCTCCTCCTCGTCCTCCTCAGCCTCTTCCCCTGCCCCCTCCGCCTCCGCCTCCGCCTCCCTTGCCTCCTCACCCACCTCCGCCTCCGCCTCGCCCGCCTCGCCGCGTGAACCGCCACCCTCGCCAACCGCTCCCTCCGCTCCCTCCGCCGCCTCCGCCGCCCCGTCCGCCGCCTCCGTCGCCCCCTCCGCCGTCTTCGCCCCCGCCGCCGCCGCCGTCTTCGCCTCCGCCCCCGCGCCGCTCTCCGCCTCCCGCAGCGCCGCGAGCGCCGCCGCCTTTCTCGCCTCCTTGCGCCTCCTCTTCCGCTCGCGCTCCGCCTCCGTCCACGCCTACCCCGCCCGGCCGGCCTCGAGTCACTCTCACTCTCACTCCTCTCCTCAAGACTGTGTCCTCCTCCCCCACACGCCTGAAGAGCGGCGGTGCCGCGAAGCCGCTCCTCCGGCTGCCACGTCACCTAAGCTCGACACAAGCTCGACCTCGTCTCGACGCCACCTCGGGCAAGCCGCGCCTCCGCCCGCCACGTCACCCCGCCCGAGCCGCGCGCCGCCACCTAGTCTCGCGCAATCTCGGCTCACCTCGACGCCACCTCGACGTCACCTCGACGCCATCTCGACGCCATCTCGATCTCGGGGAATCTCGCCACCTTGTACGACGTCTCGAACTCGTCGCGCCGCTCGTCGAAGCGCACGCGCTCCTAGAAGCAAACACACACGGGGACCTCCCTTTCCGTCAGGGTCACGCGCTCCTAGGAAGCGCGTGGTCGCGGACGTGTCGGCAGCGGTCACGTGCTGGGCGTGTAGTGGGCGTGTCGTGGACATGCAGTGGGCGTGTCGTGGACTTGTCGTGGGCGTGTCGTGGACATGGACATGTCGTGGACATGTCGTGGCGTGTCGTGGGCGTGTCGTAGGCGTGTCGCAGACGTGTCGCAGACGTGTCGTTGACGTGTCGCCGACGTGTCGTGGGCGGTGCGCTCCTTCAGAATCGCTTCAAATTCCTCCTCCTCCTCCTCCTCCTCCGACCCGCCCTCTTCCGAATCTGCGTCGGGCCTCCGCCGCCTCTTCTTGCCGCGCGACTCGCCCTCGCTGCTCGACGAGTCCTCGTCCTCGCCACTGCTCGTCCCGTCGCCTGGGTCGAACGAGTCGTCGCTGCTGCCGCTGTCCGAGTCGTCGAGAAACGCGTCGTACGTCTCGTCCTTGACGGCGTCGAGCGCGGCGCGGCCCGACTTCCTCGAGCGGCGCTGCTGCTGCGTCTCTGCCACCGGATCGGCCGTCCCAGCCGCCTCGGCCGGCTTGGAGCGCGGCTTCGTCTTCACCGGCTGCGCCGGCGTCTGAGCGCGCGGCGCTGGAGCCGGAGCCTGCTTCGGCTTGGCTGGCTGGGCGGCCGCCTCGTTGAGCGGCGTAGGCTCCGCCGCGCGCTCAGACGTCGGCGCAGCTCGGACGAGGAACTTGAGCATTATGGATGTGTGGAGCCTCGGGCTCTTCGTTGAGCCGGGCGCGCCCAGCGCGGGAACGCGAAAAAAAAGGTAGTGCCACTCACCGGCCTTCGCCAACGCCTCAAAAGTGGCGCAGAGTGAGGCGGTTCTCAACAGGCAAAGCATCGGTAACCCGCTACACTACCTGCCGCTGCCCGCTATGGGATCACAACGCTACCTCGCCTGGGCCGCTGCCCGCTACACTACCTGCCGCTGCCCGCTACACTAACTACCTGCCGCTGCCCGCTACACTACCTGCCGCTGCCCGCTATGGGATCACAATGCCGCGACGCCGCGACGCCACGACGACGCCACGATGCCGACCGGGGTGAGACATCCTCGCCTCGAGGAGTCGGCATGCTAGATGCTCTCTGAGATAGGTGGAAGCGTCGAGTCCACCAAACATCGGCCGGCTCACGCCGCCTTGGCCGCCTCTGAGCGCTTGAGCACCTCATCAAATGTCGCATAGCGCTGCGTCGCCTCATCCCATACTTGGAGGTGGAGCGAGCGCCACATGCCCTTCGCGTCGAGCACGGTAACGTCGTCGAAGGCGCCCGATGGCGCGCCCTCGTGCACCTCGCGCAGCATGTAGCCTGGGATGCGCATGCGAAAGTGGTGGATGTGGTGGTACTCGATGCCCAGCGTGAAATACTTGAGCCACGTCGGCACGACGGCCAGCGAGGAGCCGTGCATTGCGGCCTCGCGAAGCTTCCATTCGGCCGAGCCGCGCACATAACCGTGATCGTATACGTGCTGCCAATGGAAAAGGAGGACGCCCATCGTCATCGCGAGGTAGTCCCCCAGCAGCACGAGCGAGAAGATGCCGCACGCGTGGGCGGCGGGATAGCGCACGCCGAACACAATAAGCGCAGAAAGCAGCTTATCGGTGAAGCGATAGGCGGCCTTGCGGCCGGGCCGAAGCTCAAACGGCAGCCGCATCTTGAAGTACCACGTGAGCACCCCTGCGAGCGAAAAGAATGGGAGAGGGTGGCGCAGCACACGCCACAGTTGCTGCTTCCAAGCCGGCATCGCGACAAACTGGGAGGAGGTGTGGAAGACGGTCTCGCCCCAATCGTAGTCGTCCTGCCCGAGATTCCCCACATTGGCGTGGTGCAGCTGGTGACCCACATTCCAGTCTGGCGGCGTAGCACACATGACCGCCGACACATGGAGCGTGAGCCAGTTGGCCATGCGCATTCGCTTCGAGCCCTGAAAGAAAGAGCCGTGCCCGCAATCATGGAAAATCATGAATGAGCGCAGGTTCAAGCCCGCCCACAGCACGGCGAGCGCGGCACGCAGCGCAAGGCACACGCACGGCCCGATGCTAGAAGAAGCCGCGAGCCGATCGGCGGTCCACGTGGCTAGCACCCACCAGCTGGCCATGCCGCCTGCGGCTTGCATAAGCACGACGGCAGATCGCAGCGGCGTGCCGCGGAACGCGGGAATGTCCAGATACCGGCATAGGCTGTCTTTGGTCGCCTCCTCGGCCGTGGCCGGGGCGGCGTGGGGGCAGCTCTCATCTCGCGCTGCGTCGCGCCGGGCGAGGGCGAGGCGAAAGGCAACCATGGCAAACGAGGCACCTGATTCGGGTACTTGAGCACTTGAGCACTGGATAGGGTCGGTTCCGCATGGTACGGGACCCCTCGATCGTCTCGGGTACTTGCGGTCACCGAGAGGCACTAGCAACGCCTCCGTGTGGGCAGCTCACCCGCGGTCTGAACCGTGTGGGTCTGTGTCGAGTACGTGCGGATTGAGAGAGAAGTAGACGAACTGGCCCTGTGCCGTGTGGGTGGGAGGGGGGCGTTAGCTCCGCAGAACAGCTTCATTTCACCGCCGTCGGCATTGCCGAGCGGCAGGTCTGTGGTGTGTGCGCCTGGCCCTTGTGCTGAGTGCCGCCCATGAGGTTGCCATGACGAGGAGATTCCCTGCTCCACCAGCAGCGCCGTATGCCCTCCCCTTCGCTCGGGCGCGTCGCCCGAGGTGCGCAGCACCGACCAGGGGGAGGATACCATTCCGCGTAACGTATCGAACAAAAGAATTTTAGTCAGCGAACAAAAGAATTTTACAACCAAACTCCCTCGCACGACACTGGGCACGGGACTGGCGCGCACTGGCACTAACAAAAGAAATACACGCGAATTCCTGTGTCCCAATTCCCAGCCTCCCCTGCAGGCGATGGCGGTGGCGTCCCCACCGGCATGCCTCCACGGACTTGGACAGCGGTCGGAGCAGATGGGACGCCGCCAACCGCCGGCGGCGCCATGTGAAGCACGCCTTGCCAAGGCACCCCGATGCCAGCTGCTGCGCGCCCGGAGAGGTCGAGCAGCGCGGAGGCCGCGCACGCGTCGGAGGGGGCGTGGAGCGCTTGTCCCTCTGGGGGCGGCGGCGGCGCAATAGCGCGGTCCGCCGTCTCCAGCGCCGCGGAGACCGCTGTTCGGTTGTGCAGCGGCACTGCTGGTACGGGGGCAGGGATGGCTGAAGGGACAGGTTGTGCGGGCGCGGTGGCGCAAACCTCGGACGCCAAGCCAGTCGGCACGGACGCCAAGCCGCCGAGGGGCAGTTCGTAGGCGGCGGCAAAGGATCGCGCGGCAGTGGAGGCGGCGGCGGCGGCGGCGGCGGCGGCGGCGGCGGCGGCGGCGATGGCGGCGGAGTGAAGCTCATCCCTTGGCGAGATGACCTGGGTGCTGAAAAAGACGCCAGGGATCGCTTCTTCGTGGAGGGGGATGCCCATGACGTGGGCGGGATCGGTGGAGGTCAGGGAGGCCTGAGAAGTGATCCGCTGCCCTTGCGTCCAGAGGGAGGCGCTGGAGACCAGCTCGTCGATGGTGCGCCCCGTCTCAGCCGGTGTGGCCGGCAGGGTGGGAGGTGTCATGTGCATCACGCCCGCCGTTGGCGCCAGGGCCAGGGGGGGCGGGGGGGCGTGCGGGCCCAGCAGCGGCGCGAGGGTGCGCCCGATGCGAAAAGTGTACCAGCCGCACGGACCGAGCGGAAACTCGCCGAGACGATGGAGCGGAGCCGATGTTGCAAACTTCAGGATGACAATCGGCGGCCCGATGCAGTTGATGGTCTGGTTGACGACCCTGTGCGGCGGCCAGCCGTCTGCGTCGGGGCCCTCGTTCCAGCACCCGCCTCCGTGCTTGTTGGTCGGCACGCAGCCTGAGCAAACCACCCGCAAGCGGGAGGCGTGGATATGCACTCCTCTCGCTCGGCATGTGGTGCAAAACCTCTCTCTGAACGAGGCGCCAGCCTTGATCGGCACTGGCACGCACGCCGGCGTCGTGCCGCCCGACAGCAGATACCCCCAGCAGCCGGTGTGTCCTCTTTCAGCCATGACCAACTCGGTTTCCGAGGACCGGCACTTGAGGGGTGTCGCGATATCGAATTTTGAGGGTGCGATCTCGGAATTGAAGGGGGGTAACGCGGCGGTCGCTCGGTCCTCGAATTTTCTCTTTCCTTCGCTCCTCCTTATCATGCATCGCAGTCGTCGAGCCAGGCCGGCGACAGCGACCTCGCCTCTTTCAGCGGCGGCGTCGAGACAACGGGGTGCGGCTTATTTGTTGACGGCGAGACACTTGATGCAAGCTCCCGACTTGGCGGCTGCACCGCCACCATTTGCACATACATCTGAGAGAGAGAGAGAGAGAGATTTTTAGCAATATCAAACTGTCAACATGCGTCCCATCTCTGGATGGTATCGCTGGATGCACTGCGGCGGCACGCGCGCGGCGGCGGCCGGGCCCGCAGGCGCGGCGGGCTGGCCACCCGCGGTGGCACCCTGCGGCTGCGATGCGGCTGCGGCGGCGTACGTCTTGGGCGCCGGCTCCGCGGCTGGCGGCGCGGCGGCAGGGGCGGGCGGCGCCGCAGGGCTCGCGCTCGCAGGCGGCTCCGTGGCCTGCGCCTGCCGCTCCTGGCGCACAGCGCGCTCGAGCTGCGAGTGCGGGTGCAGCTGTACGATGACGTCGCCGCTCTGCGTCGCGGTGAAGGAGACCGAGTACGGCGCTTCGCCGTCGTTCTTCTTCTCCGCATAGACGAGCGCGTAGTCGCACACCTGTCGTTGGTGGTCAGTGAAGATGGTCTCTGTGCAGCGCTCGGCGGAGCCGACGCGAGAGAAGTGCCGCCTGAACGCCATGCGTCAGGCGCTGTTTGAATTGTAATACACACACTCTCTCTCTCTCTCTCCCGCGCTGGGAATTTTTTCTCGTCATCAAGATCTCGGTACGACTGTAGCACGCGTGAGGTCAGCTGGTATTCGCTCAGCCAGAAAGACCGTGCATGCAAGTCCTCAAGAAGGCCTGCGCGGGCATCCGAGGCCTCCACCCCGTCGTCAAAATCCTCATCTGCGGCGCAATCGGGCTCGGCGCCGGCCTCGTGCTAGCCTTTACCAACAGCGAGCCGTCTCCAACGTGGCGTGCGGAGTTTCTCGTCTGGTTGGGGATGCCAGGCCAGGCACGCGCTCCAACAGCTCCTCAATCTGCACGCACTCTCTGACACCCGACCCGACTTGTCTCAGCTCTACCTTCGTGCGCTCTCCGCAATGGTCGGCCCGCTCGTCTTTTGCTCGGTTGTGCTCGGATTCGCAGCCCTGGGAGAGATTGGCGCCAGCGGTGGCAAGATCATGAGGGCAGCCTTCGGTCTCTACGTGCTCACGACGTGTGTGGCACTAGCGCAGGCAAGCACCACCCAACCCGTCACCCCGTCACCCACTCACCCTTTTGGTAAATTTAATACCCTCTCCACACCCTCTGGTCAGGGCATCTTCCTCACCCTCATCACTCGGCCAGCATGGGACACGACCGACCAAGGCTCGAACCGAGTCCTCGTGTCTCCCCCCGCCGTCCCGTATGATGCTAAGGACCGGTGTGTCAGCCTGGGCACGGAGGAGCGCCAGTCTCGGAACCAGCTCTCGGAAGCAACCGTCTCGGGAGACCTTCGCGTAGGCGCGTGACCCTCGGATACAAGGACGGCGTCTGGTGCTGCCCGCCGGGCGAGGCGGTGGCGGGCGCCTACCGCTTCACCGCGGCGGAGGCGGCGCGCGTGGACGTGCTCTTCGAGGGCGCCCCCTCCGCTGTCCGCGTGACGGAGCTGTCCTACTACTACCCGGGCATGGTCACCTTTGACTTGCCCGACGCCGTCAGCGGCGGCGGCGACCAGCGGGACGTGTTGGCGGGCCGCACCAACCTGACGCTGTACGATGCGGGAGGCGACGTCGTCCTCTCCTCCGGCCTCGAGGTGACCGGAGGCTCGTCGAGCGAGCGCGGCGCCATCTCGGTCTCGCTCGGGCTGCTCTACGACGTGTGGTGCCGGAACCTTCTAGGAACCTTCTAGGAACCTTCTAGGTCTCGCTCGAGGGGCTGCTCTACGACGTGGTGCCGGACAACCTGGTCGGCATCTTCTACGGGCCGGGCGGCTCCGCCTCCCTCCTCTCGATCATCTCCTTTGGGATCGCCTTTGCGCTCGCCGCGCTCATCCAAGGACGCACACCGGGCTCCACGAGCCTCGTCCTCCCCTTCCTGCAAGAGTTCCTCGACACCCTCATGCACATCATCCTCGGCGTCGTCGCGCTCACGCCGGTCGCCGTCGGCTCGCTCATCCTGCAGGCGGTCGGCCAAAACAGCAGCGACGAGCTGGCCGAGGCCATGTCGTCGCTCGGCATCGTCGTGGCGTGCATCCTCGCGGCGAACCTCTTCCACACCGTCGCCGTGCTGCCCTCGCTCGTGTACTGCGCGAGCCGGCGAAACCCGTACGCCCACCTCAGGGGGATGCTGCGCGCGGCGGGCGTGGCGGCGGGCTCCTCCTCCTCCGCCGTCACGCTGCCGGTGACGATGGAGTGCTGCGAGGGGCTCGGATACGACCCCGCCATCTCGCGTTTCGGCCTCGCCCCCCCCTCGCTCGGCACCTCGCCTCCTCCCCGGTGCAGGTGAGAGACCCGGAGGTGGCCCGAGAGCGTAGGCCTCTCGCTCGGCTGCACAATCTCGATGGACGGCGCGGCGGTGCTGATGTCGGCGGTCACCATCTGGCTCGGCGTCATGGCGGGACAGACATTCACCGCCGCCAAGGTGCCGCGCCACTCATTAGGGTAGCGTTACTAGCCGGGGTAGCGTCACGTTGCTGTCCCCATAGGGCAGCGGCAGTGCTAGTGGCCATGCCGTCCCCGTGCCACACACACTTTTGTGCGTGTCGTCCCTGCCACACCCTTCTAGCTTCGCGGGTGGGTAGAGGCGCGGCGGGGGAGTACTTAGGTGCTCGTCCTCCTCATCATCGTCGTCCTTTCTTCGATGGGCGCCTCGCCCACGCCCGGTATCATACCCACGATCATACTGATCTTCGGCGCGGTCTACGGCACCGCGGTGCCGCTGCCAGAGGAGAGAGCGAGTTCTCCGTGGCCGCGGCGATGCCCAGCGAGAGGCGTAACGCGAGGGATGTGCTCGAGCTCATAGGAGATCGCGTACGTCGCCGCGGTCGACTGGCTCATCGACCGTTCCGCGACGGTGTGGCCCTTATACACACACACACACACACACGCACGCACGCACGCACTCCACACACGCACGCACGCACGCACGCACGCACGCACGCACGCACGCACGCACACGCACCTCACACGCACGCGCACACACCCACGCACACCGCTCGCGCCTTGCACTGAGCGTCAATGCCGAGGGGCTTCTGTTAGCAGACGTGGAGTCGCGAGGGTGTCGCCCCCCTTGCCCCACCACCCTTGTGGGTGTGGAGACTGACGTGTATCTCACCGTACCCACCTTCCCTTAGGTGACCAACGTGCTCTCCGACTCGTTTGTGGTCTGCATCCTAGACAAGTGGTTCGGCGCCGCTGCGGTAAGTGGTTCGGCAGAGGCGGAGGCCCGGGGACCCTCCTCGGCCGGTGCCTTCGTGAGCCTCGCTGGATTCGGGGCGGTTCGCGCCGAGGCAGCCACAGCCACCAAGAGCGTGCTCGCCGACTTCTTCGCCCTCCACACGTCGCTCTCCAGCCCGCTGCCGCTGTGGCGGCGGCAGCGGCGCGTCATTTCCGGCGGCTCTGCCACCACCGCCACGGTGGAGGCGGAGGCGTTGGACTTGGCGGAGCCGGAGGCGACAGATGGGGCAGTGGCGCCAGAGAACACCCGCGACTTCTCCCATAGCCGCGGGGCGTGAAACACGCCGTGGCGTGCTCTTATCGCGAGCGTACCTTAACCTAGGGTCATGTCTTTGCACCCACGGTGGTGGGCTGCACTGGTTGCAGGCCAGCTCATGCATGGCGATGCATGGCGAGCAGGCGATGATGCTTGCGTAGCGGGTTGTTGCGCATGTTGGCGAGTGTGTGCATGTGCATGTGCATGCACATGTGGCATGTGTCAAATCGAACGCCTTCCCGCAAAAACGAACCACACTCCACACACACATATTTCCCCTCTTTTTTTCTCTGAGTTCGCTGCACTTTCAGGTCGACGGCCTGCTCGCTTGGTCGACCGGCTCCGACTGGCTTGGCTCCGACCTGCTTGGCTCCGACTAATTCAGCCGCTCCACACGCTTTGCGCTGCCGGCGAGGCATCCTGCAAGCGATGATCACAATCAAGGCCGTGGTGCCGCCCGCACGCGATGCCATGCTGCGCCTGCGCCACCGGGCATCATCCCTCTCCGTCGCTGCGCAATGGAGTCGGAACATGAGCAAGGCGTCGGTGGTAGCCTCGCCGCCGGCCGATGAGAGTGGCTAGAAACGAATTGAGAGTCATAACGCCTAGGCTGCCTCCTACATCCGTCTTGGCGGTGGGAGCTAGGGCGGAGGGGGTGAGGGTAGGGTGATAGGATAACCCATTGCATCACTTCGTCCTCAGCGCGAGGCTTTTTGAATCGTGCGTGTGCGAGAGCCGTTTTTTGAAATCTTTTCGGGCTGGTAAATTTCCGCGAAGTCCCCTGTCGAGCGAGACACGCTTTTGGCCCAGCGCCAAGCCACCTCAGTCGCGACGACGAGGCTTCTTGCCCTCCTCCTAGTGCTCTGTGCACCGGCCGAAGCCATGCGGACGCGCTTTGTCTGGTGCGCAGCCTCTCTCGCCCTTGCCCTCGGTGGCACCGCCCGAGACAGACTGCAGCAGCACTGTGTGCTGAGCGGGCGCAGCTCTCCTCCTGAGGCCAGCGCCCGCCACGCTGCGCAGGTGGGTGCGCAACGACCTCCGCCTACACGACAACCCTTGCCTCGCCCGCATCCTCGCGCACAAGGGCGAGGCGGAGGCGCGTCGCTCCCGAGACGCTTCCGAGAGCTTCCATGTGGATGCACCATTGCGGAGTCCACGTGGATGCACCGTCCGTCTCACCGCGCATTGCACGAGATCTGCACGCCACGCCACGCCGCGTCACAGCAGCCCGCGACCTGCCCATGTCGCGACCCGCAGGTGTTGCCTGTCTTTTTGTTTGACCCGCGGCAGTACCGGCGCACGGCGCGCGGCTGCGACAAGACGGGCCCCTTCCGCGCCAAGTTCCTGTACGATTCCGTCCTCGACCTGCGCCAGCAGCTGCGCGGCATCGGCAGCGACTTGCTCGTCGGTGTGGGCAAGCCGGAGGAGCTGCTGCCGCGGCTGGTGCGAGATCGAGCCGAGATTGAGCCGAGGTCGAGCCGAGGTCGAGCCGAGGTCGAGCCGAGGTCGAGACTTAGCACACCAGCTACTGGTCCCACACCTGCGGACCTCACACCTGCGGACACCTCGCGCCTGCGGACTGATCGGCCGCTCGTCGACAGGTCGCTCCTCGCGGCGAGGGCGACACGCATACGACGATCCTCTGCCAGGAGCAAGTCACGTCCGAGGAGCTTCGGGTGGACCGCGCGCTCCGCTCGGCGCTGCCGGCGGGGAGCTGCCAGTTCAAGCCCGTGTGGGGCGGCTCGCTGTATGACCGGAGCGAGCTGCCCGCGAGGCAAGCCCTCGATTCCTCGACCCTTCCGTGAGCCTTCTTGGAACCTTCCGGCAGGAGCGAGCTGCCCTACCGGCAAGATCTCTCCGACCTGCCGGACGGCTTCACGCCCTTCCGCAACAAGGCGGGGAGGCCGGTGCCGCGTGGGGACGCCTCATGTGTTCATCGATCCATCCATCCCTTCATTATTGGGCAGGTGGAGAGCCGGTGCGAGGTGCGGGCGCCGATCAAGCGACCGGGCAACGGAGACCTGCCGCTGCCGCCCGCCGACGCGCTGGCGGCGGCGGCGCCTCTCAGCTGCACGGCGCTGCCGCCGTTGCCAGAGATTGGGCTGAGCGAGGCGGCCCTCGGGGAGGCGTCTCGAACCCTGAGGCGTGACGCCGTCCCGCGACCTCTCCCGGACCGTTCCCGGAACCTTCCCGCAGGCGCCGGACCCGCGAGGCGTGATGCCGTTCCCTGGCGGCGAAGCCGCCGCCCTCGCCAGGCACTACCTCGCCATCTCCTTAGCCGCTCCCTGGTACTCCCTTTTCACTCCCCACAGCTCCCCACCAGCTCCCCACCAGCTCCCCACCAGCTCCCCACCAGCTCCCCACCAGCTCCCCACCAGCTCCCCACCAGCTCCCCCCGCCAGGCTCAAGCACTACCTCTGGGACAGCGACGCCCTCGCCACCTACTTCGAGACGCGCAACGGCATGCTCGGCGCGGACTACTCGTCCAAGTTCGCGCCGTGGCTCGCGCATGGCTGCCTCTCGCCGCGACAGGTGGCGCACGAGTGCCGCAGGTACAGAGTACGAGTAGTAGTCAGCGACTCTTCAAGAAGAACCAACGCCCCTGACGCCGAGCTGCTGCCGCAAGGTACGAGGGCGCACGCGTGCAGAACAAGTCCACGTACTGGATGGTCTTCGAGCTCATCTGGCGCGACTTCTTCAAGCTGTACTGCGCCAAGCACGGCGAGATGCGCCTCGACGGCTCCACCCCACTGCACCTCCACCCCACTCCTCGAGAGAGACTAACCCCCCCGCCCCCTCCCCCCCTCCTACATCCCTCGTGAACTGTCCTGGAACTATCCTGCAGGCGACGCCGTCTTCCTCGAGGGAGGGCCGATCGGGTCGCACCAGTCGTGGCGCTCCGACGCGCAGCTGCTCCAGCGCTGGAAGGATGGCGAGCTCGGCGTGCCGCTCGTCGACGCAAACATGCGCGAGCTCAAGGCGACCGGGTTCATGTCGAACCGCGGGCGGCAAAACGTCGCCTCCTACCTCGCCCTCGACCTGCAGCTCGACTGGCGCGAGGGCGCCGAGCACTTCGAGGCGCTCCTGCTCGACTACGACGTCTGCTCCAACTGGGGCAACTGGGTCTCGGCGGCGGGGCTGACCGGAGGCCGCGTCAACCGCTTCAACATCGTCAAGCAGTCCAAGGACTACGACACCGACGGCGCCTACGTGCGCCACTGGCTGCCAGAGCTCAAAGATGTGCCGTCGCAGTTTGTGCACGAGCCGTGGAAGATGGGGCGGGCCGAGCAGGAGAGGTTCGGCTGCCGCATCGGGACGCACGGCGACGCCGCCTCCGACTACCCCAACCCGCCAAAGTCGTTCTTCCAGTACGGCGGAGGCGGCGGCGGCGGCAAGGGCGGTGGCGGCAAGGGCGGCGCCGGCAAGGGCGGCGGCCGTGGCAAGGGCGGCGGCCCGAAGGGGCCTGGTTCTGCTGGCCCACGCGGGAATGGCGGGGGCGGCAGGGCGCGTGCCGGGGCGCCGGTGAGGGGGCGCGTTCAACACGCGTACTGAGAGCGCGGTTGCCTCTCGAAAGAACTGTGACCGTGTGTGAGCCGCTGCGCGCCGCCTTGCTTCATCAGGATTTCCCCGCTTGCATCATATCATGGTTTTCGCCATGATATTATGGAGTCATGATATCCGAAAGCTTGGCACGTCATTTTCACGCTCTTGAAATCACACCTTGCGATTTCACACAAGGATCACGCTCTTGAAATCACACCTTGCGATTTCACACAAAGAAATCACGCTTGCCGCTCGGAGCCCGGAGCGATTTTTTGTTTGGTGCCGGTATACTACGGTAAAAATGTATATAGCTGCGCGCGCTTCTACTGTACACGCGGGCGCAACGAACATGGCTAGTACAGCAGAGCACATGCTCATGGCCTCCCCGGGGAAGTGCGAGAGTCGTGCGGTCAGCCCCAGCCGACTTAACCTTCAGTTGCCGTCCCCACAGTGTGCGAGCTCGCTGGGGGGGGCGGGGGAATCGTTGAGAAATAAATAACAAATATACCGCTACTGAGCTCCCCGGCCCTGGATGTGAGGCTAATGATTGCACTCCAAGTGCTCCAAGTGCACCGCGCACACCAAACAAGGGGTGCGAGAATCGGAGAGAGACTGCGAAGTGAGATAGGAAGAGGCGGACGCCCAACCAAGGGTGGGCGACGGCTAGCGCACCACACCCCTCTCCTTAAAATCCCTGTGTGGTGGCGGCGTGTGAGTGAGTATTCTTGATACGAAACCACGACGACACGCACCAGTCGACTCGCATCGGTTGCCCTCTGGGGGGAGGTGGGGGCCCCCGGAGGCACCATGCGCCGCGCCGCAGTGCGGAAACGGGGCTCCGGCTCTACTAGTCTCTACTAGCACCGACTTCCCGATTAAGCTAGGTTAATCAGAGGGCAGATTTGGAGAGATCTCGAGGAGTACACACAGATAGACCCTCCAATCATGAGAAACCTCCAACCTGATCGGTCGTACTGACCGCCGACAGATCACTCCAGACAGCAGACAGGCCGACGTCTGCACGCGGCCGGCCGGGCGAGAGGCTTGACATGATCCGACCCTGCGACCCTGACGCTGCTGCTCTAGCTATCAGATAACTGCTGACTGCTGCCACAATGTGTGACCGGTGCTGGCCCACTTGGCGGCCTTCCCGGTCAGTGGTGAGGCGCAGTTCAGAGCTGTCGATGGCGCGATGCCGCACTGGTCCCACATTGGTGACACGAGACCACCACGTTTGCCGGTCCAAGGGAGAGGCACTGGCGCTGTCCTGAGAAAGTGCATGGTCCCTCTTGACTGCCCATGCGCGCGAGGCTGTGTAGGCATAGCCTCGAGAGTGCCAGCAGCCAGTCGCCGAGGCAGTTTGTGACGCGCATTGCGTCAGAAGCGTGCACGCGCTGGAAGGACACCTTCCTACTGGCCGTACGATCAGGTCGTCACTGAATGCTTGATACTAAGGCCGCGAGCTATGCAGGTGGTCAATTGTGCAGCAGGGCACGGTCAGCAGCGCCGACAGGCTGTCGCAAGGCGTGATAGCATGGCCGCAAGTACGGCGAATTCCTTGAAAACAAGTAAAAAATCGCGCAAAAAAGAAAAAAAATCCCGAAAAAATCGGCGCCTGCGGCGGGCCGTGGGACCCCATCTCCCCCCCGCATGGATACCCTCTAGGGCCCCCGCCTCCCCCCAGAGCGGTTGCCTCCATGAACGGCGGAGCTATTCTCGCGCCCACACCACACCTGGCTCCAACGTGGACACGCCCATAGCTGGGGACACTACTAGGTCACGCATGGCATCACAGAAGTTTTATCTCTGGGCCCCGAAAGGCATCTCTAGCAGTGTCGTTACACATGCCCCCTCCCCTCCTGGGCGCATGCGCCTCCCGTCTCGCCAGAGCATAAGCCTTTGGCGTGTGGCGAGACGAGTTTTTCGCCATCGCTGCGAGCAGCAAACCACTCGCCGCAACAGCCGGAGGCATCGCCGCGGCACTGGCTGCGCCGCGGTCCCGCACCCGTCGACGCAGCTCCCCCCGCGGAAGACCGCGCGTAGCGACGTCTTGACGATCGAGATGAGCGTGCCTGAAGCTCGCCCACCTACTGCCCCTGAGAGTTGGTTATTGAGTGGGATCAGCTCCCCCCCTTGGGATCGAAGCCGCCACAACCTCGCACCCAACACCACAGGCGGGATCAGAGAGAGACTCCGCACCGGACACCGCCCGGGCACAGACCCCCTACCCGTCGGATCGCACAGAGGGCCCCCTCGGAGCAGCCCACACACAATCTCGCATCGGCAGATTGAGTGCCTGAGTCAGGCAGACAGCACAGACAAGAGGAGAGAGAGGAGAGAGAGAGAGAGAGAGAGAGAGAGGAGAGGGTGAGGGTGTGAACACACGTGAGGAGTGGGGAGGGTGTCTCATCCTGAATCTGAAATCATTGCTGCTCTATCCACCCGCGCCTTCTTCTGCCCCTTCCGTCGTCCATAACGCTTCCACGTCTCCACCTCCTCCTCGCATCCGCTCGAGTCTGATTCCGAAATCTGTATTTCTTCGCTCTGATCCGCCTCCGCTTGCCTCCTCTCCTCTCTCACCCGCCGATTGCTCTCCTCCAACGACCACTGAATCGCCTTCTCCTCCCGTTCCTCGCTCTGACGCAGCCATTTCTCCACCCTTCCAGTCCCCTCTCCACTCTCTCTCTCTCTCTCTCTCTCGGTGCAGCGCGGCCACCATGCGGCGCGACGTGCCCGCAGACTTTTTTTTATTCTTTTTGGAGCAGCGGGCGGCCTGCACATGCCAGCACTCCTCGCCGCCGCGGTCTGGGCGGCCGCTTTTTCGCCCGCCGCCGTCCTCTTCGCGACGGTCGTGGCGCGCCGGCCCGTCCTCGTGGTCCTCGTTTTTCTCTCGGCGTTCGCATGGTCTCGACGCTCCGTCAGCATTGCGCTCTCCCCGCGAGCGACGCAAAACACGCCGCGGTGCTCCCATAGGCTCCTCTCCATCTCCCTCGCCGCCGCCCTTGCCGCGGCGCTGAGGGCGGCGGTGCCCGCTGCCGGCACGTCGGTGGCAGTGGTGGCGGCGGCGGCGGCACTCTGCCAGGAAGGGAGTCGGTACGGCATGTACAGCGCGTACGTCCTCTTCCTCCGCTCGCTGCGCCAGCTGGGCGTGGCCGTCGACACCGGCCCGCCCGCCGCGCACCTGCTCAGCGCCGCCGTGGCGAACGGGGTTGGCATCTGGGCGGCGTACACGCTCGTTCTATACGGCGACGTGCTCTGGCGGTCCAGCCTGCCCGGCAGCCTGTACAGCGACCAGTGCGAGGGGCTCTCCACCTTCGCCGTCGACGCGATGAGCGCGTGCGGCATTGGCCTGGTCAACGTGCTCCTTTCGTGCATCGGCTGGGTCGCCGCCTACCCGCGCCGCTCGCCCGCCCTGGCGGCTACGACAGTCGGCTTGCACGTCGCCGCCACCGCCGCCACCGCACTCAACGCAGGCCCGCGCGGCCTGGCGAAGGACGGCTGCTCCGCCTCGCTGCCCGCCCTCGGCGGCGCCGTCCTCCTCTCCGCCGCCGTCGCCGCCTTCTCCACTCGCGACGGCGGGGCGGCGGCGGCTCGAGACCTCGGGCTCTGCTCCGGCGTCGTCCGCTTCAAGGAGAAAGACGAGCCGCTCCTATCCTCGCAGAGCCGCGCGCACCGCTCCTCCGCGCCGCTCGACGAGCCACCACCCGAGGAGACGACGCGACAGAGGCTGAACCGACCAAGCGCCGCGGCGTCGGGGGACTGAAAGATCACCGAATACTAAGCGAGACGCAACGTGTGACTGAATGGGGGGCGCGCAGGTGGGGGCGCGCGGCCAGGGAGTCGTGATCCACCTGTCGAAAGGGGGAGATAGACAGAACATCAGTTTTTGTGGAAAACACACATCGAGCATCGGGAACGGCTGTGGTGTCCGCGCCGCGTCTCTCTGGCACAGACGGAGCAGCGCGGACCGCGCCAGCGGAGAGCGGTCGCTGCTCCGCCCCTCCGTCGCGCGCGCCGCGCGCGCGCTGCCGCCGCCGCCGCCGCCGCCGCCGCCCCCTCCTCGCCGTCTTCCCCACCCCTACCCTCTGTTGCGTGCACGCGCGCGTCGCGCGCTGCGCGCCCCGCCCCCGCCCGAGCTAGCGTGTGGGGAGAGCGGCATTGTGGCACGGTGCGGAGTGCATTGCCGTTCTTAACGGAGTCGCTTAGGCGGCTCCGGTGGTGAGCCGGTGTGTGTGCCAGTCCGCGCCAGTCCGCGCCCTTGTCGTGCCAGTGTGCTGTGAGAGAGGCTTTTAAGAATTCTTCTTTCCTACATAGGCGACCTATGCACCCACCCAAGCTCGGGATGCGGGGCCGGCCTCGAGGCGCTCCGGCGGCTTACGAGTCCGCGAGCCCTCGGGGTAGATGGCTGGCGGACACGGTCCGCTGTGCCTGTCCGGCAAACTGCAGCCACCGCATAGCCGAGGTCCTAGCGGGACAGGCTGCCGATACCAGAATCTGGCACCATCGCTCCCGCTGTTGCGGCTTGGCTGAGCCGGCGGCCGCTGCTCGCGCCGCTCCGCGCGCCATTCGTCGAGGGCGTAGATGGTGCCTCCAGGGAAAGAGGCGCGCTCTCTCGGCAATCTCAGCTATTCCGCTCCCCACTCACTCGAGGCGTCGGGCATACTGAGCCCGATTTGATACCTATTCACACGGCACGGGTGAAGACACGCTCTGCACAAGCGGGCGACCGGCCCAGAAGCTGCTTTGCCGGTGGGAGGTGTTGGTGGGCATGTAGCAGCCGAGTAGCAGGCTCTTGCCGCCGTCGCGTGGCGGCCCAGTCTGCGGCGACAGCTTCCCGTCCACAAACCAGGGCACCTCCGGCGGGTGGCGCGCTATCGCCTCCTCCGTCGCACGCGTTAGAAACCTAGTTGGCAAAGATCGGTCGCGAGCCATCGCTCTCGCTGTACAGTGCATACGCCCTCCTCGGCGTCGCATCCACACCAGGTGAGTCGAGATATGCCTTTTTCGCGTCTATAGCGCACTTTGCACGGGCAGCCCACGTGTGCCGCTCGAGGACCAGGGTGCGGGCGGCGGTGACGATCGCACGCCTCTCCTCCTCGTGGCTCAGATAGTGGTGCACCTCGCGAGGCAATCGGAAGATAGCCGAGGCAGAAGAGATCTAGCCGAGATCTACAAGAGAGAGCTCGGATCAGCCGAGTCGATAATACCTTTCGGAGCATGTCCTCCATGCCGTCGAACATCACCAAATGCACGCCGTCCTCCCAGAGCGACGTCTCGTTCACGCGGTTGCACAGCAGTAGCGTCGTGCCCGAAGCGAGCACCTCGAAGAAGCGCGTTCCAACAATCCCCTCCGGGCCAGTCGTGCTCACCTGCCCACAGCATGCGTTGTGCGAGCAGCACATCTTCACACTAGGAAAGCCATCCGCGGGCCGGTTGTGCTCACCCAAATCTTGGTGCGCGCGATCTGCTTCACGTAGTTGACTCGCGACAATGTGAACCACCGGTTGCCGCCACCGCCCGCAACGTTCTTCTTGTCCCAAGACCCAAAGTAAGTCCGGAGCCGGGCCGGGTCACTGCGCAGTGCTGCGGTGATCTCCGCCCTGAGAGCATACTTGGGTCCGCTCGAGCCCTGCAGGGAGTGGGCGGAGGGGTGGAGGGTAGGGCAAGCAGGGTTGGGTGGGAGGGCGGCGGAGTGGAGGGCGACCGTGAAGCCGATGTCAAATGGTTGGTCGGTGAAGTTGCCTGCAAACTTCCCGTAAACGGACGCGTCCACCCCGAAGGGCATCCAGTGATACGGCAGCCCACCACTTGCCGTGAACTCAGCCGCCTTGCGGCTTCCGAGCCACGTGAATCCTGCAGCGGCGCCGAGGTTGGTCGCCCACTGCAGCTTCGCGGTGACTGATCCCGTGAGCTCTGTGGCCGAGGTGTACATCTTATTTTGCAGCACCACCAGCGGGACCGTTGCCAGCTGAGCGCGGCTGAGCCCAAGTGGCTCTAGTGCATTGACCACGTTCGTCGCGTACCGCGGTCCAACCACGATCAGCTGGAAGCGCTTCGCGTCGAGGCGACACTTTCCGGTTGCTGCGTCGGCCTCGATCACTGAACTGTGAGACACCCGAATCACCTGGGGAACGCAACGGTGTCAGCGCTCTTGGAAGGCAGTGGATACGCGATGGCATCCAAGCTCTGTGGAAGGTGGGGAGAGTGGTCGTACCTCATGCAACGCGGAGAAGGCCGAGCGCACGTCACAGTAGTAACTCCAGGTGCGGCAGTCGAGGCGGCCTTCGACCCACAGCACCCTCCAGCGGGGCGGCGAGTAGTCAGCCACTCGGTCGTACCGCACGACTGGAAGCATCGCGAGGAGGGGAGGGCTACGAGGTCCTCTTTTCCGCCCGCGGTACGCGGCGCGCGATACGCCACGAGATCGGCCGGAGATCGTCGGACCAACAGCGCCGAACCTAAACCTAAAAAGAAGAAAAGAGAGATTTTCCCGCAAACTCTCGGAGTCTCCACGTCTCCAACGTTCGCTCCTGTTCATGCCCCAGCCGCAGCGGAGGTGCCGCACAACCCGCGGATTTGACTACCCCGATTCAATTGGCGAGCGCTTCGCGCTCGCACTGCAACATGGAACGCACCATGGGCTCGGCCGACGCTTTCGAGTACTGCCTCACCCTCTTGCCGCTCTCATCGATCCCTGCCGCCGCTGGTGTGTGCCGTGCCGCCCCTCTCACTCCTGTGTGAGTGCCTCCGCCGCCGTCGCTGGGAGCAGCAACTGCTCCCCACTAGGTGTTTCTCGGCGCTGGGCGGAGGTGGCAGTGCCGGTGCTCGTCTGCAAAGCGGCGGCGCAGCACTCCCTCCTCGGCCTCCTTCGGCTCGGCGCGTCTGCACGCGTTGTGCGACAGCGGCTCAGGCACGCGCCGCTCGAGGCCTCGCGCATGCGCCGCCTTGGCTGGCACGCGGGGACCTGCGCGCAGGACGACAGCGGCTGGCAGCTGGCCAGCGATGGTTGCGGCGAGGTGAGGAAACTCGCCAGGCCCATGGACTTGCCAGTGCTACCGCCTACTTCCCTTCCTCGCCCTATAGGACGAGGGCGTCTTGCCTCTTCACGACGCTGTGGCCCGCGGCTGCAGCGCAGAGGTGGTGGAGGCGCTGTTGCTTGCGTGCCCTGCCGCAGTCCGGATGCGCGCCGACATTGGACGATTGCCGCTGCATTTGGGCTGCCTGTTTGAGCATCCGTGCCGTAGCACAGTCTCGCTGCTCCTCCGGCACTATCCCGAGGGTGCATGGGCGCCGTGCGTAGATGCAGAATGCAGTGTTTGGTCGCCCGGCACACCACAGTTGCGCCTCCGGCGCCTGTCTCCACGCTCGTGGGAGCCAAGACGCCTCAAGCAAACTCGGTTGGCACCTACCTCACCCCATCCCGCCTTTCCTCGCAGGCGACCGATGCCACCGGCAGGACACCGCTCTCCCTGGCGCTCAGGAGCGGCGCGGACGGCCGCACGGTCGTGCAGCTCTGCCAAGCGACGCAGGTGCCGGGGCTGCTCGCACTGGCGCTGGGCGCGGCGCGCGTTAACGCAAAGCCGTATACTAGACCGTGAAAACGGTGAAGCGTCGACGTGAAGCGGTCTCGCCTGACGCCTCTCTATCTTGGCGACACTAGTTTTTTATTCGGGCGGATTATACGAAAGCGGGAGGGCCTTGTTTTCGTTTATGCGCAGCCTGGGCCACAGTAAAGCGGAGCGGGAGACACCGCGTCGGGAGCAGTTGCGCGCCGCGCCGTTAATACGTTATCAGGCGGAATAAATGCAGACGGACGCGGCGCGGAACTGCTCCCGACGTCTCCCGGAAAAGCACGGAAAATCTTCCCTAAGACTCATCCCTTCTTGCACTTGCACTCCGAGCAGCCCTCCATGAACCACTCGATGCCCTGTCCGCCGAGGCACGCGGCGCCTTCACATCCGTAGACGCAGATGCACTCGCCGGTTGTGGATGTGAGGCGGCCGCCTGTCAGAAGAGAATCCAGGGCTGCGACGGTGTTGAGTGGTGGTGCAATGAGTGTTGAGTGGTTTTGTAGCAGGCCGTATGGGGCGAAAGAGTCGCGCCTCGGCTCTTACACCATCCCGAATCCTTCTTGCCCGATGAGGGTGCGCGACTGCACATCACAGCAACTGCGAGACAGAGGAGCAAGAACAGGCTGCGTCTCATGACTCTAGAATCTAACGGATAGGCTCAGAACGAAGTGGTAGGGACCCTAGCGATGGGCGAAGAAGCGGCGCGGCGCCCAGCTTGCTTGCAAAAAAGAAAAAATTCCGCGCACAACCCTGCCCAGCCCCCCACTCCCGTTCCCCTGTGTCCCTGATCGTCCTTCCCAAATCTTGCTCGTGCAGGTAGGGACCCTGTCCTCCCCCCATGTCCATGTGTGAGTGAGTGAGTATTCTTGATACGAAACCACGACGACACACACCAGTCGACTCGCATCGGTTGCCTCCATGAACGGCGGAGCTATTCTCGCGTGCAGTCAAGAGGGACCATGCACCTAGCTTCTCAGGACAGCGCCGGTGCCTCTCTCTTGGACCGGCAAACGTGGTGGTCTCGTGTCACCGATGTGGGACCAGTCTGGACCAGTGCGGCATCGCGCCATCGACAGCTCTGAACTGCGCCTCACCACTGACCGGGGAGGCCGCCAAGTGGGTCAGCACCGGTCGCACATTGTGGCAGCAGTCAGCAGTCCATGGCTGATAGCTAGAGCAGCAGCGTCAGGGTCGCAGGGTCGGATCGTGTCAAGCCTCTCGCCCGGCCGGCCGCGTGCAGACGTCGGCCTGTCTGCTGTCTGGAGTGATCTGTCGGCGGTCAGTACGACCGATCAGGTTGGAGTTTTCTGATGATTGGAGGGTCTGTCTGTATGTACTCCTCGAGATCTCTCCAAATCTGCCCTCTACTCAACCGTACTCATTCGGGAAGTCGGTGCTAGTAGAGACTAGTAGAGCCGGGGCCCCGTTTCCGCACTGCGGCGCGGCGCACGATGCCTCCGGGGACCCCGCCTCCCCCCAGAGCGGCGATCAAGGATGGCGCGGTTCATCCCCTTCACCGAAGCGATGGAGATGCGTTCCGCGTGGTGTGAGACACAAACGAGAGGCGGGAGTGGGGAAAAGAAAGAAAATAGACAACCCAAACGAGGGATAGGGGAGGAGGACAGGGTCCCCACACCTGCACGAGCAGGATTTTGGAAGGACGATCAGGGGGACAGGTGGGCTCTCCTGCTCCTGACAAGGGACACGACAGGCTCGCAGCGCGGTGCACGGTGGAATCCCAACTCCACTGGCGGTCTCATCTCAGTCTAGCGAGGCCCCAGTAAGCTAAAAGTACGTACGACGAAAATTTACCTTTGTGAAACTCGCGACTGCGCGCGTTCCCGAAGCGCTCGCCGCCGGTTATCCCTGACGCGCCGATCTAACGCGCCGACCTATCCCCGCCCTGTGGGCGTTTGGCCCAAGAGAGGAGCAGGCCGCCCTCCATGGACCCGCTCCTTTCGCCCGCAGACAGAGCAGTCCGCCGTCCCATTTGCTCCCTCTCGTCTGTGTCTCCGCGGCCGGGCTCCTCGCCCAGGTAAATCGCAGTTGCACGCATGCCGTAGCAGCCTCACCGCTCCTTCCTTCTCGCGGCTTATGCTTACCTTCACCGCTCACCCCCGCTCCGTTCCTCGCACCCACCCCGCAATGCCACTGGCGTCCCTATCCGCCGCCTCCGCCTAGGACGCCGCTGCTGCCAACATGCTCCAATAATGGGCCAAACAGCGCTGCGCTTAGGAACCGGCTGCGGCTCGCTGCGCTGCTCACGGCCGCTGCGATGCTGCTGGCGCTCTGCGCGACCCAGCGCTCGCAAAGTGCTGAGGAGCGGGCGCGGCTGGACCGCATGCTGCGGACCGGGGTGCTGGATGAGCAGGCGTGGCACCAGCACCTGTCGATGACAGATCTCCGTCGTACGTGACACGTCATGGCTCTAACATGAGAACTTGACCGCAAGGTTCTCCTCGAGGACGAGTCGCCAGGAGCACGCGTGCGGCTTCGTCGCGCCGCCGCCCGCGCTAACCGCGCAGCCGAGCCGGAGGGCTGGCCGGACATCAACCGCGAGGTTGGCGTCTCGACGGAGGAGCTCGAACGATTGCTGGGTAGCACAGAGAGAGATTCGAGGGGCGGCGCGGCCGCCTACGATACCTCTCAGTATCAGTACCAGTGCGAGGATGAGGACTCGCGTTGCGCCCGGTGGGCAATGGGCGGCGAGTGCGATCACAACCCGAGGTTTATGAGGCAGCACTGCGCGTTGGCGTGCGGGTGCGAGAGCCCATAGCCGAATGCGGGCTCGTCGAGTGAAACAACAAGCTGCTTATTTCTTATCAACCTATCTGTGAAATGGAAACACTGTGAGCGCCGCGAACAAAAAACTGGATCGCGCGGACGGTTTTTTTGCACATTGCACGTGTTGTGTGATGTGTCGCGCTCAGGCGCGCTCTCTCTGCTGACTAGTCTGCTGTGGCGAGAGCTCGTCATCATCGATGAAGCATCGCACTCTGGGGATATGGCGGGATACGGTCAGATATGGAGAGAGATACATCAAGAGATACCGCAAAAGAATCGTCCGGACTAAGGCTGCCGTAGAGCTGGAGTTGGTGCCGAGCCGAGCCTAGTGGAGCACTCCTCGCAACTTTAGTACGCGAAAAGAGCACTGCTCTCGTGAGAAGAAAATGTCGCTGTAAAGACGTAGGTATATGTGCAGCATCGTTTTGCGGGGTTTGAACCATCACGTTTCGAAGTCTGGCATCACTGTGCCGCCACGCCCCAGGAGCTGATCTATCCCCGCACGCTCAAGGATTCCCAGCGGCGCGAATCTGCGCGCAAAGGCCGTGGCGCGAGCGCTCGCCTCGTGGGCGCGTGCGGCGGCTGGCGCCGAGAGTAGAACCTTCGACGTTCACAGTGCCAAACCCGAGCCGGCTGTAAACGAACCGGTGTTGGCTGGGTTCCGGCTCCTAGCCGGATAGGGAGGGGGTCTGTCGCCCCTGACTCGCGGCAAAACGCCCTACCTACCTACCTATCCCCAGGCCGCGCCGAAGCGAAAAAAGATGAAAACGCCCTACCTAACTACCTATTGCAGGGCCCTTTTGGGCGAAACAAGACCAGCCTACCTACCTACCTACCTATCTTTAGGGGCCGCTCAGACCCCCTATCCGGCTAGGAGCCGGAACCCTGGACGCCGCATTTGGCGTTTTCTGGGGCGTTTTCACCGCGGAGCCTAACACATCGCGATGTCGCCGTCGCCCTCGCCCTCGCCCACTCTCGTGGGCATCCTGGCTGCCGCAGTAGCCGCCGCCGCCGCCCCGTCTGCCGGACATGTCAACGTCCAGGGGCGCCGACTCGCCGTCCTAGTGCCACCGCTGCGCAACCTGACTGCAGAGACGAACGGCAACTGCGGCCGCTCTGCTTGCAGCAACGAGCGAGAACTGCGCCGCTGCCCGCAGACGTGCGGCGTGGCGCTCGATATCATCGACGAACTGTCCAGTCGCGGCCGGCTGCCTCGCCAGGGCACTCGCCCGGCGCGGCACGAGCTGATAGCAAACCTGCAGAGCAAGGTAGAGGAGCTGACCATCGCCTCTGGTGGCTCGAGGGCGGACGTGCCATTGGCCGTGCACGACGCACTTGTCGACGTCGCGGTGTCCCTCAACGATCAGCGCGCGGCGCACGGCGACCCTCGCCGGCCCGGCTTCGACCAACTCCGAGCCTTCATCTACGCTGCCAGCTCTCCCAGCATTGGCACTGCCAAAAGAAGCGGCTCGGACACGACCGCCCGCCGCACGCTGTTTGCTTCCGTCGTCGGTCCGTCCGACGCACCACCCTCGCCGCCCCTGCCGCTCGAGGCCCGCTGTGCCTCCGTCGGCTGCGTGGCATCGTCGATCAACTCGGCCTTTTCAGCAGTGGAGCAGGCACACTGGTTCGCTTGCACGCACACACGCGCACACGCACGCGCGCATACGCGCACACGCACGCACGCACGCACACACGCGCACACGCACGCGCGCACACGACGCGCACACACGTGCATTTGCGCGCGCACACACACACGCATGCACACATCCAGCTGCTCCTTGCTCTCCGGTCTAGGCGCTCATTGACTCCAACATCACGCTGCCCGCCGTCGCCGAGCGAGCCGCGCTGCTCCTCGATACCCACGTCGGTGAAGTGTGCGCCGAGGCACCAAACCCGACGCTGGCCCTCCGCACGGCGTGCGCCACCGCGCAGGCTGCGATCCGAGCGTGGGTTGACGACAAGTTCCACGAAGAGGTCTACGTCGCACCACCGGGGAGGCGGGGCTTGCGAGACGCACGCCTCCCGCCCGCATCCACGCCGAGCCGCACCCATCTCCGGCGGCTCGAGAGCGCGCCTTGCCCCGACGATTGCGTGGAGAGGGCCCGGGTGCTGCTGCCGGACAACCTTATCGGCCTTCTGCTATCCCGCGTGGTCGCCTCGGCGGTATCTCGGCTGTATCCCGCGTGCATCACGGAGTATAGGCCACATCCTCAACCAGACCATCACGGCTGAGGTTCTCGGCGGGTACATTGGCTACCCGCTCACCGTGATCCTCTCCTACTTGCTCAGCCTGGACGCGTTCTTGGACCAGCCGTACGCGGATGGCTGGACGCCTTGGGCATCCGGAAGGCGCCGCCATTTGGATGTGGGCGGCGCCATCCCAACGGTGCGCGAGTTGATGGCGCGCTACCCAGTGGCGTCGCGCAAGTTTCTCGAGCTCCACGAGGTGGTTGACCGATTCGGCTACAGCAGCGAGCAAGGCCGCACGTACTACGATCAGTACATCTACCTGGACGGCGAGAAGACGATCCCCTTCTTCGACGTCGGCTGGGCCAACAAGTTCATCGCGATGGTGGAGGGCACGTGGGATCGGCTCGGGCGCCACACCTACCGGAAGGTGCCGTCGCTCGGCCGGCACAGTGGCCCCGACTACGAGTTCAGCGTCTCGCCGCTCGAGGACAGGCCGCTGCGCATCGGCGTCCTCAGCGACTGGCCGACTGGCGCTCCGCAGTCGCTGCACGTGCTGCACGAGCTGAAGAAGCAGGCGCCGCGACACTGGGATGAAGAGGCGACGAACGACTTAGGTTCACGCGTGTGGGTGTGAACAGGCGCCCGACATCGTGATCCACTTGGGCGACACGTACTACTCTGGCACAAGGGCGGAGCAGGAGGCGTTTCTGCACGACCCGATCAAGGCGGTCCTCGGCGAAGCCATCCCGGTGTACCTTGTGCCCGGCAATCACGACTACTACGGCGGCGGCGGGGAGGGCTTCTACCACGTGCTCGACGAGTTTGGCGTGCAGCCGGCCTCCTACTTCACGCTGCGCGGCGCCGGCGCGCAGATCGTCGCGGTGGACACGGGGCTGCTCAACAACCAGGGTGCGCTCCTCCTCCGCGAGGATGGCGGGGTGCGCGAGCGTGACAAATCGTCACAGAGTTCCACGCGCCCCTCTGTAGACTACTCGCCGACGATGATGCCCTTCCTGCCCGACGACCAGATCGACTGGGCGCTGCACCAGATCGAGGTAGGCAGGCAGGCCGGGCTCAAGACCATCTTCATGAGCCACCACCAGGTGGGCCGACGCTCTCTCAAAATTCCGGTGTGGTGCTTTGACCCCCCTCCCCCCCCTGTCTTAGTTCTTCTCGCGCGCCGAGAGCGTCGGCGTCGCCAACAACGCCTTTGGCGAGGCGCGGGGAGAAGGCTCGACTCGCCATGGACCGCCGCCGCTCACGCCTGCTCCTGTGTGCAGGCGAGGCGCTCACGGGGCCCGACCGGATCCCGGGCCCGCTCAACGTGTACCAGACGAGCGAGTACAGCATCGGCTCCACGGAGCTCGCCGGAGGGCTGAGCAACGACCTGCCGCCAGCGGCAAACACGCGGCTGCTGAACCAGTTCCCTCCCGACGTCCGCGAGTACGTCTCCGCCTTTTACTGGGGCCACGAGCACTCGACGTCCATCTTTGACCGATATGTTGACCTCCCCCTCGAGCCGTGCGAACCGGCCGAGGCTCGCGTCTCCTCACGACGTCCAGCCGTGTGCAGGTCAACATCACGCGCGGGCGGTGCATTGGCAACAGCGGCATCGCCTTCACCACGGACGTCGACCAGTACGCCGTGAACGGCGAGACCGTGTCGGCCCCGTTTGGCGGCCCGCCGCCGCTCCTGCCAAAGGAGAAGGGCGGGTGCGCGCGCGACGGCTGCCGCACCGGCCAAGGCAACACCTTTTGGAACCTCGGCTTCGTGACGTTGGACATCGACGCCGGCGCTCAGCCCAAGATCCTTGCCAAGCACTGGGAGGTGGGTCGCGCCCACGGGCGGGCGTGGGGGGTGGTGCTCGCTTCACGGCTCTGCTGGTGGATAGGTGCAGCAGGACCAGTCGTACGACTTGGACGCCCTCGGCTCCGTCTACCTGAACGCCAAAGTCTACTTTGAGGAGGAGTACTGAGAGGCGCGCGGCGCGCGAGGGAGGGTAAACGCCGGACGCGGTTGCAGAAACGGCCCGGCTTCGAAGAAGGCCACTGTCTCCGTATGTGTGTGGTGTGTGTGTATGCGTAACGACGCTGCTAGAGATGCCTATCGGGGCCCAGAGATGTACTTCTGATGCCAGGCGTGACCTAGTTAGTGTCTCCAGCTATGGGCGTGTCCACGTTGGAGCCAGGTGTGGTGTGGACGCTAGAAAGTAGAATTGCTCCGCCATTGGCATGGAGGCCGACCAAGACGACACCGATGGCGATGCGCCGAGTCTGTGTGAGTGAGTATTCTTGATACGAACCAGTTGCCTCCATGAACGGCGGAGCTATTCTCGCGAGTCGACTGGTGTCCGAGCCTGGCTGTTCTTCATTCACCTTTCTAATTTCTACCTACCTACCTACCTACCTACCTGGTGTGTGTCGTCGTGGTTTCGTTCGTATCAAGAATACTCACTCACTCACACACTGTCTCCGACGGCTCCTCGGGCCGCCGAAAAGAAAGAAAAAAGCGCCGCGCAGAAGCCGTTTCAGTTTTTTCTTTTCCTTTTTGACGAGACATCATCTCAAACGCGGGAGCGTGCACGCCATCAGCCAGCGCCATCAACAACTATGACTGACTTCTCGAGCCGCCTCTCCAATCTCGCGTCGTCGGGCGCTTTGTGGGCGCCAAAGCTGGTCAGCTCCGAGAGCGAGGAGGCCGCCTTCGGGTTCTCCAGCTGGAACGTCAAGGCGCAGGACTCGAGCCGCGCGAGCGCCGGCGCGCCGCCGCTCCAGACGGACCTCTCCTCCGACATGCAGGCCTTCCGCGATCTGGCGCCGGCGCTGACGCCTTACATCGCGTCCGAAGTCGGCCCGAGGCCGGCCAAGTAGAGGGGCCGCGTCACTCGTGCATGGTTGCGCAAGGCACAACTCCCGGGAGCATCCCCTTGTGTGTGCGCGCCGTTTTTGTGCCGCGCACGCCACGAGTGTACTTTAGGAGCGCGGCAGGACTCTCCTGAGGAGCTGGGTCGGTGCCGCGAGGTGCGGCTGCGAACTTGGCGCGAGCTTGTGCGTATCCCCATTGTGCTGTTTCGAGAGAGCGACTGTGTATGTGCGCGCGTGTGGGTGTGCCGTGGCGACCCACGCATCGATCATCGGGCGTGCTTGCATTAAGAGACAAGTGCTGGCAGGCTTTCATGATATATAGAAGACAGTCTTGACAAAAGAAACGCGCCGCCAGACGAGAGTCGCTGGGGCGCGAGCAAAAGAGAACTCGAAAAAGCGCGGCGTGGGGCCGCTGTGCGGGCTGGCAGCTACAGCCGGGCCGCCGCCCCACCGCGACGACGCGAGATGGCATGCTGTCAGCATAGCATGTGATGTCTGCAGCTTCGCGCCTCAGTCCGAGTCATCCGCAGACTCGTCGCTTGCCGGCCGCCGGCGCTGCTGCTGTTGCTGCCGCCTCTTTGCGGCGGACCCGCCGCCCGCAAACATGTCGCGCAGCGCGGGGTTCACCCGCACGCCGTTGTCCATCATCAGCTCGACGTCCTCTGCGAGGGGCGCAGGGGAGAAGAGGTGCGAGCGGCGCAGGGAATGGGAGGCGCGAGGCGAGTCTGTCGACACACGCACAGTGGCGGGGCACAGCGAGGGGGGGGGGGGGGGCTCGCATCTCCACACCCAAGCCGAAGCACGGGGGTCGGGCGGGAGCTCGGCACGGCGGCATGCACAGTGCAGGGCCCCCAAGTCCCCGTGGGGTGTGAGCGGACCTGCGATGCTCTCGGCCTCGGCCCGCCTCTCCTCCTCGCGCTGTCGCTTGGAGGTCAGCAGCTGCGTAAGCAAGTCGGTGTCGCCCCCCCCACCGCCCGCTTCCCCGCTGCCGCCCTCCTCTGCCGCCGCGGCTCGCTTGCCGCCCCCTCCGCCCGGCGCCCGCTTCACTCCCGCAACCGGTGCCGTGCCTCCAGTAGCACCCTTCTTGCCACCTCCTCCTCCTCCTCCGCCGCCGCCACTGCTGCCGCCGCCGCCGCCGCCCCTGGCCGCCCGCTCCGCCGCCACCGCCGTCGGCTTCTTGCGCCATGCGTCCAGCGTGCCCCGCTTCGGCTCCTCCTCCTCCCCCTCCTCCGGCACGGAAAACTCAAAGTCGCCTCCGCCGCCCCGTTTGCCGCCCTTGCCATCCTTGCGCCCGCCCGCCCGGGCCTGGCGGGGGGGGGGGGGGGAGGGCGGGGGGGGAGGGGAGGGCGCGGGTGAGGGGCGTACGGGGGAGTGCGAGTGAGCGCGGGAGGGGAGGGCGATTGCGGAGGGCAAGAGGGCGAGGGGGGCGCGAGAGGGAGAGGGGTGCAGGTGGCGCGAGGGAGGAGACGCTCTACGGAGAGGTGTGTGGCCGGGATGCGGCAGCGGCGGCGAGCCTGCGGCACCGACTCGGCGTACTCGCCGTTGGGCCCGTAGTACACCTTGTACACGCGGCCCGAGCTCGCCGTGCGCTCCTCCGCCCACCACCCCGTCGGCAGACCCGCTGCGGGAACGGTGCGGCTCGACGCGCCGCCGCCGCCAGCGGCGGCGGGCTTCGACTTTCCGCCCGCTTTGGAGCCCGCCTTGGCGGGCAGGTCGAAGTTGAACTTGCCATCGTCCGAGTCGTCAGAGTCGGTCGAGACCTCGTCAGTCGGGTCGGCGGCGGCAGGCGCGGCCGCCTTGGGCGCAAAGTGCTTGCGGAGGTCGGCGCTGGGCTTGCCGGTGTTCTTCGCTGGGGCCTCGTCATCGTCGGACGAGTCCGGCCCGCCGCGCGCAAACAGGCTCGCCGTCTTCTCGGGTGGCTTCCTCGACTTCGGGGCCATCGAGCAGGCCGTGTTGGCTCTGCGTGCTTGCTTCTTCGCGCCGGCGGTGTTTGGAGGGAAGCGAGCTGCATTTCTTGTGGCAGACGGTAGGACGGTGATACGAGTGAGTGTGTGTGTGTGTGTGTGATACGAGCTAGCGTGCGGGGACAGCGGCATTGTGCACGGTGCTAAGTGCATTGCCGTTCTTAACGGAGTCGCTTAGGCGGCTCCGGTGGTGTGCCTGTGATAGTACTAGCACGCGCCAGTTCGTTCGCACTTGTGTCGAGCCTGTCTGCTGTCTGTGAGAGAGAGAGAGAGAGTTGTCTTGTTTAAATTCTTATCCGGACTCCAAGTACTGTCTCCAAGACCCACCCGCCAGAAAAAGTATGGCCTTCGGAGTGCTCTCTACTGCCGTGGCGCCCCTGTCGGTTCGGAGGCGCCCGGTGGCCGCGCGCTTGGTGACGACGTCGACCGGCTGCTCTCGCGGCGCCGAGGCGTGTCGCTTCGGTCACGTCACGCGCGCTGCGAGGTGTCTTTTGGCATGTGAGCGCTTTGTGGAGACGCCAGGAAGCTTGTCTTCCATGTCTGCGGCCGCGAGCGCGACTCCCGCACCGGTGCCGTAGTAGAGGCTGCACACGTCACGCCGGCTTGCAGACGTGGTCGACTTGGCGAGCGCATGGAGGACGTGCGCCTGCCGGTGCACGCCGCGCAGCTCCTCGTCGCGCGCGGCCCAGCCCATGTGCACCGGCCAGCCGCGCGACATGTTGCCCGCGCGGCACATGGCCACGATCTTTTGCTGCTCGCCGCTCAGCCGCGACAGCGAGCGGTCGTGGTCGAGAGCAATGGCGTGGTAGGCGACGGTGGTCCCAGCGATCAGGTCCTCGCAGTCGCGGTACCGCCCGCGGTCGCTGCAGCGCCTGGTCTCCGCCACGCCGCCCCGCCACGGAAAGCTGCGGAGCAGCACGACGACCTGCGGAAACTGGCGGATGCGAAGGCCCTGCGTCTGCCTGACCGCGTCAGGCAGGTGGGCCTGCTCGCCGCTCACCAGCCGCTCGTTTCGCAGGAAGGTCGCGTACCAATTGTGCAACAGCGCTCGGGTCGCCCTCGACACGCGGAGCAGCCACAGGCCGCCATTGAACCGGTGCAGCTCGGTGATGCTGGGCTGCGGCTCGTGGGTGAGCACGAGGTCGTTCCACGTGAGCCAGCGGAGCAGTCGTGAGTACGGTTGTAACGGCATGACGTCAAGGTCAGTATACAGCACAATGTCGTCGAGAGGCAGCGCGGCAATGGTGCTGTTGGCAAACGCGAGCTTGCCCTGCACGGCCCGCATGTGGTCGGCAGAAAAGGCAAAGCCTTTCGAAGCCTTCTGGCGCTGCGGTGGGAGATCTCCCACGATTTTGAGACTGCCAAATGACATCTTGTACGCGGCACCATCGTCGCACGAGGCCATGAGCTTCATTTCCTGCAGCCAGAAGTCCCGCAGTCTCGAGACGTCATCGGATGCCCACGCCAGCACGTGTATGTTCGGGCGGTCTGCGGCGTTTTTTTGCGGTGTGGACGCTTGCAAAAGTGCGGCTGCCTTTCGCGGCACGTGCTGTGCCATCGGCGGTACAAACGCACTTTGGGTTCGAGTCGTCAAACATTGCGTAGCTTCCGAGAAGCTCGGTCAGACACACGGGAGGAGAGACGGACACCACATCATTACGAATGACGCAAAAATACGCGGAGAGCGTGTAGAATGGCTATATTTCGCCGAGAGCGCGAACATACCCGAAGGTGAACTGCTGACGGGGTTTGATGAGGAGCGATTCCGACACGGGCGTCTCCAGCTTCTTGAGCCACCCACCCACCCACCCACCTCACGGCCCGGCTGAGGCTTGGAACCACCCACCCACCCCACCCACCTCACGACCCGGCTGAGGCTTGGCACCACCCACCCACCCCTGAAACTCCCATACATACCTAGGTAGGTACGTGCTTGTTTGGCTCCTCCTTTGCTGTCCCATCTCCTCATCTCTTTTCCGCCTGGGCGGGGCAGCGGGCGGGCGCGCGGTGCGGTGTGACGTGTGCATGTGTGCGACTGCGACGAAGGACCGCTCGCAGGACCATTGGGCTTGTATTATTAACAACGAAGGCGCTCTCAAAAAATATTCCCTTTGGATTGCGACACGCCCTCCGCTCACGTTTGGCTCACGTTTCGCTTGCCGCTGTCGTCATGCCGTCGACTCCCAGCCGCGCCACGCGTGCCGTCGGTCAAGAGCCCAACTGGTCGATGGCGATCCAGCTTGGCATGTCGCCGGCATTCAAGCAGGCGCTGGAGAAGCTGTGGCGCATGCAGGGCGGTGGCCAGTTTTGCCCATACCCTCCGAGGCACCGCATCGTCGTCCGCCCATCCAGCCCGGCGGCCGCAGCAATCGTACTCGCTTTGCGGCACTTGCGGCTGGTCTGCGAAGCCGCCGATCTCAGCGTGCTGGACGAGACGAAGCTGGAGCTGTGGCGCAAGCGCGGCGGCGGTGACCTCGAGCCGGTCCTCACGAGCGGCGCCGTCGCCCTCCTCGATGCGCAGTGGATCATCAGCCACGCCGAGGCGGGCGGCGTCCTCACTCACCGCCAGGCTCTGCCCAAAGAGGCCTTCCTCTCCCTCGCCGACCTCGTCATGACGACCGCTGAGTACGGCCTTCCTGTCGCTGCGCTCTCCTACCCGTGGCTGACCAAGGACCACCCCGACCCGCTCGGAGCCAACCTCTCCCTCGTCGCAAAGGCGCTCAAGGCCCTGCTCGATCCCGACTACTGCCCGCGGCTCGGCGTCTTTTGGGACTTCGGCTCGCTGCACCAGCACCCCGACCCCGCCAACGGCGCCGTGCGCACTGAGGAGCAGAATACGCTCTTCAAGCAGGGGCTGGGCTGCCTCGGCACGCTCTACGCCCACAAGTACACGACCGTGCTGCGGCTGACCTCCTTCCCGGACGGCCACAAGGCGGAGGACCAGCCCGAGGGCACCAACGTCGCCGCGTACTTTTACCGCGGCTGGTGCTTCACCGAATCTAGCTGGGCGAGCCTGACAAAGAACGGCAAACTCTCGCTCGACCTCGGCTTGATGAGCAATGACAAGGAGTACACTGCTGAAGAGCTCGTCGAGGAGTGCACCCAGGACGGCGGCCGGCGCCCTCCACTGCTGCCATCTCGGTTTGCGGCGGAGCTGGAGTCGAAGAGCTTCACCAACGGCAAGGACGACAAGCCGCTCGTGAAGCGGCTGTACGAGGCCGCCTTCGAGGAGCAGTTTGGCAAGGCAAACAGGCTGAGCTACGCCGACCTCGGCTGGGGCGACGCGGAGGCGGCACAGCTGGCGGAGGTCCTCGCGAGCGGGGCTGTCCCGGCGGTCAAGAGGCTCTATGTTAACGGCAACAAGATTGGCGACGAGGGCTTCAAGGCGCTGGCCGCCGCCCTCAAGGAAGGGGGTGCCCCGAGCTTGAAGGCGCGAGAGTGAGATGTGAGTAATGGGCTTAGCTGCCCCTTCATCTACTCCTTGACCCCTGCATATAGGTTCTCTGCGTGGACCACACGCCGCCCGAGTTGATCGATGTGTGCCGGGAACGCAGCATAGCAACGACACGATCTCCACGGGGTGCGGAATTTTTGGAATCGGCTGGTGAGGGTGGCCCATCGGCGGAGCTTGGCTCAGTGGGTCACAAGGCGGCTGCGGCCGTCGCTGCCGCCGCCGACAAGGCGGCCCTCGCCGATGCCGAGCGCGCCATCCATCGGCTGGTGAGTGAGGCCGTCACATCTCTGTTGAACACAGCCCCCCCCCTCACAGCCTCGTCCCATCGCCCCGTCCTCAGGCGGAGGTCCGCGCGGCGGGCGGAACCAAGTATCACAAGCCGAAACCCAGTTCCCAGGTTGATGAGGGACGAGGTGTCAGATCCAGCAGGTATGCCAGATCGGGTATCTCTCGGACCAGCTTCGGCCAGAGAGGAGAGGAGCTGGCCAGCTTCGGCCAGAGAGGAGAGGAGCTGGCCAGCTTCGGCCCGATCGGAGAGAAGCTGGCGACGGTGAGCGCGCTTCTGCTCGCCCGCTTCTCGTCGGCGTCGTCGTCATCCGAGTCTATAGACGAGCCGCCAGAGCCGCTTTCGCGCCTGAGCATACCTGCCGCGCCGGGCCCCGGAGCGTGGCGGCGCCATCGCAAAGATCAGTTGAGGGAGTGGTTGCGGGAGGCGGAATAGGGGTCGAATGAGTAACCTACAGTATGGAGGATAGTAAGACCACCCGCAAGTATGTCGCATCGAGTCGTTTGGCGTGCGCGCGCCACCACAAGAGGACGGACGGCTCGTGGATGAGATAGTTGACCATTGTGAGGGCGCCCGGGTCGGGGGTCGGTTTGAAGGAGCTGCATGCCGAGAGCGAGACGCGGCGTCCAAACTCCAATGGGATGTGGCGAGCCGAAAGCCGTGTCTCTGTGCGCTGTGACTGTAACGCTGTCCTTTGCTCGCCCACCTTCCTTTCTGTCTCTCCTCCCCATTTCGGTAGTTCGCCTTGGGCGGCACTGTGGGCAAACACGGTTATGCACGGATGCGTGTGTGCATGCCACTGCATGGTGTACACTGTACACTGTGTCACGTCGGCATCCCGGGGGCGAGGGAAAGCTGCTCACTCCCCTCGCTCAAAGTGCACCACCTCTCCCCCGCGCAAGAGCTGGCTATGCCTCACTGCGTGCGATGGCGCCTCCACGGCGTCCATCGCAGTCACCGGGTAGCCCGGATGGGGCCCGCCGTACTCGACGCCGTACCAGCCTCGCGACCGCGGCGGCGACGGTGAGCAAGCGTGCTGCGAGTGCCACGAGGGGCCGGCACTCGATTTAAAGTTGTCTGCGGGTGCGGACCTGCAGAAAGCCATCGGTATGACGGACAGGCCGCCGACGAGGCCAGCCTGCAGAGCGGTCGGGCGCGCCGGGTGAGCCACCCTCCCCACACGAGACGGAAGCGAGGCTAGAGTCTCGGCTCAGGAGGACCTGCTGCTGTGAGTAGAGCGACGGGTCGGGAAGTCGCGCGTCGTGATGGTAGCCTACGGGCATTGGCCGACGGCGAGTGGGCGAAGGCCGTGCGCTGGCGACGCGTCGCGGCGATGCCTTTGCCGGGCATTACCGCGGGCCCCTGGCTGCCGCTGCTGCTGCTTGCTGGGGCAGCGTGAGCCGCTCCCGAGGATGCCTCCGCCCCCGTGTAGGCTGGCAACGGGTTCGGAGGAGAGCGATTGTCAAACGCAAGGTCCGCGAATCTGTTGCGGCGGGGTGTGCGAGTCACGGGGCGAAGGAACCTCTCCTCTCGTGAGACACGTCCTCAAGGAGCTCCTCTCGTGAGACACCAGTCGCCTTGACGGCGACCATGCCCCACCCCTACGTATCTCCAACTCTGCTTCATGGCACACATGATGTCCATCACGGAGAGGCTCCTCGCCGCCTCGAGCGACTTCTGCCGCTGCTTGGCTGGCGGGCTCGCGGCCGCCGCCGCCGCCGGCCCGCCGCCCGCCCATGGTTGCGGCTCCCTGGTCCGGGATGAGGCGTGGCCGCCTACGGCCAGAGCTCCGAGGTTCGGTGCCATGCGACTCCGAGGCGCGGGCGGGTGTGGGCAGCATAGGCAACAGGGCACGTGGGAGCGGGAGGGAGGGGTGCGGGGACAGGGACAGCGCCGGTGCCGCGGTGGGAACTGGGTAGGAAACACGAGGGACGCGGGAGGGAGAATGCACACCCCTGCCCTGGTATCCGCCAGGATAGAGGGGTAGCGGCTGCATCCAGCTAGTCGGTTCTGCGGGGCCCGACGACCAAGTTTGCCGCTTGAGCGACGCTTCGGCCTACGCGCACGACACGCATAAAAGCGTCGTGTGCATGAAGGGGGCGGCAAGATGAGATTCGGGGAATCGCCTCGGCGTCGGTCATCGTGCAGTTGTGCCCCTTCTTCGGCTGGCCGCAACGCTTGCATCTGTAGGAAAGTCCTCGGCGGTACAACCGCGCCTCCTTGCCCGCCTGGTCCGTGCCGCGGCCATCCGCTCCTCCATAGCGTGCGCGTTTGGCGTTCTCGGAGTGACCGGCGACTCGCCTACACCGCAGTATCGCCTCGTCCGACCGCGAAGCGAATGCTCTCAGATGCTGCACCGCGACCGTCGCCTGGTCTATCACCGGCGCCGGCACGGGAGCTGGCTCTGCAGACACCGGCACCGTTATATGCTTCCCCGCGTCGACGGCGCTGCTACTGCTGCTGCTGCCGACGCTGACAACGCAGCTGCCGCCGCTGCCACCGCCGGCGCCGCTAGCGCCACCGACGTTCCTGTCGCCGCCGACGACGCGGCCACAATCCCCACAATCCCCACGGCTCATCATCCCATCACCGGCGAGGGCCATGGCCCGCCGGAGCGCTCTTAGCAGCGTCGAACGTGCCGCAGCCGCCATGTTCGACGCCTCCGGCCCCACCGCAGGCGCCATGGCTAAGCCCGCCGCATCCGAGTCCGCCACGAAGTCCGCTGTAGATGACGCCCTCGCTCTGCTGCAGCTGCTCGGTAGAGCTCGGGCGGCCGCTCGGGCGACACAGCGTTGTGTTTCTTTTGTCGCCCCTTCGAGTAGAGGCGAGGGTCCCTCGGGGGGGTACCCTGGGTGGGCGGGGCCTCTACTCGCCTCTACTCGCCCGCCCCATGCCCGCTCGCAAGCGCGCGAGAGCCGAGGCTCCTGTGGAGACCGCGACGCTGACCGATCCCGACGAGCACCACCCCACCTTTCGCCAGCTCGCCACCCTGTGGCGCGCTGGGCAGCTCTGCGACGTCACCTTCACTGTCGAGGGACGCTCCTTCTCTGCGCACAAGCTCGTCCTGGCGGCAGCGTCGGCGTACGTGCGCGCTCTCGTCGACGGCCCCCGCTTCGCGGACAGCAGCTCGGACGCCCTTACTCTCGATGAGATGCCCGCCGCGGCCTTCGAGCTGCTCCTGGAGTGGATCTATTCTGGCTCCTGCAACGCGCCGCTCAACTTGCTGCAGCCGCTGCTGCTGGCGGCGGGGCGGCTGCAGGTGCCCGCCCTCGAGATGGCGGCAGCACAGGCCGAGCGGCTCGACGCGACAAACTGTTCCGACCTCTGGGCGTTTGCCGAGCGAGCGGCTCTCGTCGACCTCGCAGCGGCAGCCAAGGCGTTCGCGCTCAACCACTTTCAAGAGATCGCGGGCGACGCGGCGTTCCTCAACTTGCCGCGGGCGCAGCTGGAGGTGCTTATTTCAAGCGATGACATCGCTCTGAAGGAGGAGCTCGTCTTTGAGAACCTGATGCTCTGGCTGGCGGCCCAACCGGCGGAGGCGCGCGAGCCTGACGAGGTGGCCAAGCTGCTCGAGCACATCCGTTTTGCAACGATGGAGCGGGCGTTCATCACCGCGCGCGTGCAGCCGCACGAGCTGATGCAGAGCATGCCCGCCTACAAGGTGCTCGCCGACGCGCTGGCGGACAGCTGCTTTGGCGCTGGCACGGCGAGGAGCGCGCCGCGAGGCGGCTCGTGCGGCTGGCTGCTTGAGGGACTCGACTGCGGCGACAAAGTGACGGCAGAGGGGCGCGTCCTCACCTTCAAGGCAGGCGCGTACCGCCTCGTGCGGCTAGACAAGCTCATCTCCTCGGGCAAGTGGGAGATCGGCTTTGAGCTGGTCGCAGACAGTGCTGGCTGTCGCCGTGCCGCCACCGTTTTCGGCCTTGTGGCGCGTGACGGCGGCCCTCCTGTCGACTTTTGTCTCAAGACTTCTGCCTCAATCGTCCTGGACAACGCCTACATGCTGCGCCGCCACCAGCGCCTAGTCTACGCAAACGGGACGATGGTGGGCGAAGGGGATGGCCAAGTAGGCCAGGGGGAGAGCGAAAGCTACGCGCAATTCCCTGTCGGCTCCCTCGTCCGCATCATCGCGGACATGGACAAGCGCGAGGCAACCTTCTCCATCGACGGTACAGCTGTGACGGCTGTCGCAAGGGGCATCTCTGGACCAGTCTACCCCTTTGTGGGGAGCTATCATTCGGCAGGCCCAGACAAGGTGATCGCGTTCAAGCATGTGCGCAGGCTCGCGTGAGGGGACACCCGTGAGCTAAAGCCGAAGCAAATACGTTACAAAGCCGCATGGGCGGGGGGCTCCGCTGCTTGAGTAGAGACTGGAGTTGTGTCGTACGGGTGTACGCGAGAAGTCGCGCGAGAAGTCTCGCACCGCGCGCACAACAGAACATAGGCTCGTTCCAATTCACCTCACTCTGACACGCTAATCTCTTGAAAACGCGCGTCCAACGGAGCTCCGTGTTGCTCCCAGCGGAATCCCCCGCGCTTCCTGCGGCCATGGCCGATGATACTAGTATGAGAGGTCATCTGGCTACCGCGAGCGCGACTCAACTCGCCGACGTCGTCCGATGATTGTGCCTCAATGCAAAAAAGGGCATTTTTTTGGTAAAATTACACTGTGAAAAAGACAGAAAAAGAGAGAAAAAACGCGCGCGCAGCGCGCGTAGGCGGCGCGCAGCGCCGCCGCAGGCGGCGGACAGCAGGTGCGCAAAATTAAACGCCATTTTCGGTTCCGCGGTTTTGGCACTAACATCAAATGTCGGGATGATTGATTGACTGATTCGACCACATGCCCGCCATGCGCAGGCCAGCGCCGCGCTGTGATACGCATAGAGACGACCCGACCTCTCTGAACTAAGCCAGATTACTGCGAACGAACGCCTAGCGCGGCGGGGAAGTCAACGGGGCAGCCGGCGGTGGCCGGCCGCGCCCGAGGCGCGAGGGCGTAGACGGGTCACAAATTGCCCGGGACGGCTGGTCACTTGGTCTCTGACGTAGGCCACGCACATGCACATTAAGCGGTGACATGACCTGATTGCTAAAAGAGCCGGTCCGCGAAATTAAATGCCATTCTCCAGGTATCCATTTTAGCACTATCTTCGAAATCCCGGCCGGTACTGTTTAAGAATGAGTGAAAGAGGTTGTTGGTGTTGTCTCTGAACGGGCTCGGCTGCGCCTGGGTTCGGAGCTTCAACGCCGGCCATTGCGCCGAATAAAACGGCGGCAAGTGCACAGGGGCTTCGGCGAGAGCGTCGATGCCTTGAGCTGCCCGCTAATTGCCAGGGGCTGCACCGCCGTGTACATCAAGAAGAACTTGCAGATGTGCAAACTGTGTGTATGCCGAATCGTGACGGCGGCGAGGACGACACGGACGGAGCAGGCGACAAAGGCGAATCCGACGGCGGAGGCGACGGCGACACGGACGGAGGCGGCGAAAGCGAGACCGATGGCGGCGACGGCGACGGCAAGCGAGGTTGCTGCGGGGAGGGCGAGACGGAGGAAGGCAGCGGCGACGGCGACACGGACGGAGGCGGCGACGGCGACACGGACGGAGGCGGCGAAGTCGACACGACCGACGGCGGCGGGGAGAGCGATTCCAACGGCGGCGGCGGCGACGGCGACAAGGACAGAGGCGGCGAAAGCGAGACCGACGGCGGCGACGGCGACGGCGACATGGATTGAGGCGGCAAAGGTGAGATCGGCGGCGGGGATGGCAAAACGGAGGAAGGCAGCGGCGACGGCGACACGGACGGAGGCGGCGAAGGCGACACGGACAGATCCGAGGCGGCGCGACGGCGACACGGACGGCGGAGCGGCGACAGCGACACGGAAGAAGGCGACGGCGAGACCGACGGCACGGCGGGGAGGGTGAGGCCGACGGCGGCAGCGGGGAGGAGTGCGGCGGCAACGGCAGCGGTGAGGGCGGCGGCGACGGCGGCGGAGAGAGCGGCGGCGACGGCGAGACCGACGGCGCGGCGGGGAGGGTGAGGCCGATCATGCTTGGCGGCAGCGGGGAGGAGTGCGGCGGCAACGGCAGCGGCGAGGGCGGCGGCGACGGCGGAGGAGAGAGCGGCGGAGAGGGCGGTGGAGAAGGCCGCGGGGAGGGTGGCGGAGAGGGCGGTGGAGGCGAGGGCGGCGGCGACGGCGGAGGAGAGCGCGGAGGCGACAGTGGCGGAGAGGGCGGCGAGGAGGGTGGCGAAATCGCAATAATTCACCTGCGGGAACCGGGACGGCGGGGAGGGGGGGGACCGACTCGTGCCGCGGGCCGCCGGGCAGCGGCCATACCCGCTCGGCGGAGGCAGGGCTCAGAATCGGTTTCAGGCCACAAGGCTGGTGAGTTGGGCGTGACCGTCATCTATAGAACGCGCCCGCTCGGAAGTCTCGGTCTGCGGAAGGTAACGACGATTCGGCTAGGCGTCTGCGGAGGCAAAGGGCGGGCTGGCGATCCGCTACGAGGCCTGTTTGTCGCGGTCGGACAGGCACCCGTCGCATCTGTGGACAGGTGTGACGACGGCAGTCACGAGTTTGCGGCGCAGCCGCGCACGGGGCCCCGCCGTCAGCGGCCACACATGCAAGAGCGGCACAGCATGAGTCGGGGGGGTGTCGGGGCACGACGAGGGTTGCTTCGGCTGGCGCTCTGAGGCCACCAGGCGGCCCCATTTGATGTCCGGGAGGTGCCTCCCGGACGCCTCCCGGACAGCTAACGTGCAGAGCATCGAATAGACGCCTTGCCCAAAAAAGTCAGCCTCCGGAGGCTATCGTGGGGTCGAGCCGGCGGTAGCCGTGACATGTGGTTCCACCACCCCTCGTAGGCTTTGCCTCTGACCGCCACCGTTCCCAGGCTGCCTAATGGGATGGAAAGGAAGGCTCGGCGAGCGTATAGAAGCGTGCTCGACCTCGTCGTGGCAACCTGTACGGCAGCGCTGGTAGGCGCGATGAGCGTCGTGCCACCTGACCCAAGACGGGTCGCAGGCGTCGTACCGAGCGTGTCGGGACCGTGTCCTGATGTGATCTGCACGGGTGAGTCACGTCGGCGTCAAAGGAGCGACGTGCGACCTGTCAGAGCTTGATCTCCGATCTCAGCGGCGTCGAGTCGTCTCCGGCGCGCGACAAAGGTACCTCCCCAGGACGCGCAGAGGCAGCTGCGATCGGAGATCAAGCTCTGACAGGTCGCACGTCGCTCCTTTGACGCCGACGTGACTCACCCGTGCAGATCACATGAGGAGACGGTCACGACACGCTCGGTACGACGCCTGCGATTTGTCTTGGGTCAGGTGGCACGACGCTCATCGCGCCT